TCATTTTTGTTATGTTGGATTTGTCATAATAAATACTAAAACTTTTGTGTCTTACAAAATTGTGATTTAGGTACCGGTTTTCATGAAATTTGGCATTAAAAAATTCAAACGGCCGCCATTTTTAAATTTGGAAAGTTAAAATAGTAATTTTTCTTATAAATGTTACTTACTATAGTGTAAACAATTTTGCCAAGTTTCGTAAAAATATCTCAAAGGGATTTTGAAATAATAAATATTTTCCCCAAAAAAACAAAATGGCGGATTACGGCTAAACTAAGCCGAAATCCAAAAAATTTTATTCTTCATTTTTGACTTATTTTTGCATGAAGAATTAGGTCCTGTATAGCCCATCACACTTTTTTGTGACACCCTGTATAAAAATTTGAACGAATGGTGTTTTTGGCCTCTGGGGACATTAAAATGAAAAAGTAAATCGGTCCCGGGCCTAAGTCTTACCATGAGACCTACGGTAATAGCTACTTCCCTATAGGGAAATTCGCTAAAAGTAATTAACAGTACTAAAAAAATTATATAGTCAAATTAGGCATTGGTAAAATCTATATTCCAGTTTTTTACAGTTTGTTGATGGGAGTTAGTAAATATCTACATGTATTCCTTTTGTTCATAGCAAGTGTGGCTAGCACAACTCTAGTTCCTAACCTCATTGTGAATTTATATCATTAATACAAGAAGCTCAACAAAAAAGTGACATTACTAAGTACAGCAAACAATAAGTCCAATTAATTGTAAATACTCATCAAACTTTTTATAAAATTGTAAACGGACAAAGATTTTTCATAGTTCAGAATCAAATAGTGGACTTAAATTGAGCAACTTCCCAAATTGATGATTAACGACAAGTCAGTAGGGTCACCGTTGCGTTACGTTGGCCTAAATTCATTGACTCTAGACTACAGTTAAAACTCTATATCACAGGTCCCTTACAGTACAAGATAGGAAGACAGATAATAGGTAGGTAAAAATACTTTTGTAATGTTTACAGTACGATAAACTGTGTGTACATTCCAACCAAACGTTTGATAAAGGAGAAAGTAGAAGGATGGAAGATTAATGCTAAAAAATTTGGTCCACAGCTACGAGAAATGGAATGCAATATAAGACGAAAGATATAGATATTGCAATTCAACCAGAGCTGTGTAAATGTTACATCTTGGAACAACGGTTTCTAAAATCACTTTATTCTGAATCGGATGAAACTGGGAGTATAATAAATAATCCCTTGCATAAAGGGCATGGAATATTACAAATTAGACGAAAGTCACAAGTTGGATAGTCTCGACTTTGGAATTTTAATAAAATAAAGGATTATTCTTTTGAATCAAAATGAGCCTGGTGATCAAATTTTGGGGGATCATTAGAATAATTCAGTTTTAGTCATTCACAGATTTTGTCATTAACTTTTACTGCCACTCTATTGTAAACATTTGTTCATCAAACTAAAAAATAAGTTTGCTATAGCTTCACTCTTGTTGAATGCTATTTTTGCGATGATAAAAAAAAACTATCACAAACAAAAACACAACAGGATTGTTGGAATTGCCAAACGCACCAATTACAGACAACGTAGTACGTACACAATACACGGGGTTCAAGCTGAGTACATACAAAGTATAGAGACACTTGCTACAAAGATGACTTCAGGCGGGCTAACCTTGTAAAAAAAACCATCGCTCCTGCTACACCAAAACGAATGTCACTTTCTAAACAGCCATTGAATTTAATTTAAGTAGTTAAGTAAATAGATACCTTAAGTTTTTTTTGCAAAGTATTGTGAGTATTTCCAACACAAAATAAAAATAATATAGACCTACAAAAGTTGACTTTTAACACACTATTTGATCTTGGTTTGGCACAAACATAAATCAGACTAGAGACGTTTCAGCTAAAATATACAGCTTTCTTTAATATGAATGTAAAATAAGCAAAGAGAACATAGGTTCTTTTAATTGACTCTAGTATGAAAAGATTGTAAACCGGACAATTCACTACACAGTTTCTGATTTTTCAACTTCTAAATTTCCAAATACAATTTCTGGATACACAAGATGTGGTTGGATACAAATCTAGCTAAAAAAGTTACCAGTGGTGATCGACATGTGTAAAAACAAAATATAACACAAGTTTTTATTCACAATTAAGTTGCAAAATTTAAACTAAAACTGGGAAACCCAAGCTCAAATAGCAATTACTAGAGTGAATACTGCATCTTTATGACACGTTTTGCAATCCATGTCTATTGTCAGGGAAGACTTTGGTTCTTTTTCTTTAACATAAAAATATTTTGCAGTTAAAGCCATTTTTAGTTTTCAAAAAAGAGGAAATACGGATGATTGGGCAAAATTGAAAAGGGTTGCAACAAAATTGACCACTGGGCTCTTGACTGGAACCTCTAAGGAATCCTTATTGACTGAAGACAATCGTGAGAAAATAGTTAGCGCTGAAATTGTTTTTGTAAATCAAATTAGAAGCTATTGGCAGCCTCTAGAACAAAATAAAACCTTAATGTGTGTATTGCAATGATGTAAAAGTGTATGAGGTGGATATACTGATGTAAGTAACAAACAATTATAAAAATCTGCGAATTCCGCAGAGTATTATAAGTTCACTGTTGAGTGTTGTTTGAAGCTCAACACTTAAACAACACAAAAACCAAGATTTATTTTGAAACTTGTTGAATACATTCCAATTCTAGCGATCTTTTAGTAAAATATATATACAAAATTACGTTAAGGGAAAAAAATTTTTACGAGAGATTTAAATTAAATTTTCCCAGAAAACATAGAAATAACTATAAGACTGAGGTTCCAATCAGATATTCAAAGTGATTAAATTATCAAATAGATGGCTCAGATCTTTAGTTAAAAGAAAAAATAAACCTTTGAGGAGAAAATAACTTTAGCTAGGATCAATTCCTTTCCAAATGGGTTTTCTTTATTTATTGGGGGGAAATGGTAACCAATGTGACTAGTTACCATAACTTAAGAACTATTTGCAAAAATGATGGATAGTAATTTTGGCATCTCCTATCACAAACTCAGACATGCTTAAAGATTTGATTATTTTGTGTTCCACACTGTGTTTATATTAGTTATGGCATATAACCTCAAAACACAACACTAAAAACCAAAAGAAATGACACTATGGTTCTGATCTTATGTAACAGGCTTCCACAATTGATATCTGTAGTTGGAGGATCCTCCTCTTTGGGTGACGGCCCCGTGGATGCAGACGACATTTGAGTACTGTAGTCCAATGGACTATTTTATCGTCGTCTGCATCTACGTGGATGTCACCCAAAGGCCAGAATCTATTAACACTATGGTGATAGGACTTATCATATCATAAATTACCTTTAGTGTACAATCATTTGATCTGTGTATTATTGAAAGGTTTATATTTTACAATCAAATATTTACATTCCTACTTTTGGCATCTTATTATTTGGCATTTTATACCAAACCTTTTAACAGGCAGATTACTTAAACAAATTTATTTAATAAAAAGTACCTTAAGGTTTGATTAACTCTACCAACTATCAGTATTTTGATTTGAAAGAGTAATTTGATTACATTTTGATTAATTGGTGAATTAAAATGATAAAAAAATCAATATTAAAATATATATATAAACTCTTGTACCATGTTTCTTCATCAATCTAAAAGATATGTGACTATCCCGACCCACAGTGCTAGTTAAAACGGTATATTCAATAAAACAACTCCAGGTGCCTCAGTCAAAATTGACAAAATTAAATTTCACCTGGTAAAAGTTATAATAAATACAAAGGCCTATGTTATTTAGGTAGTTCAAGTTCACTTTTAGCCTATAATACTTTCCTTCTAGCTCAAAAATATACAAAATTTTGGAAGTTTACGTTAATATGAATAAACAAATACGGTCTTATTCTAATATTCCTTTGAACCTAAAGAGGCCCAAAAATGCTTTCATGTTATGTAGTCTTTTACATTAGATTGTCGCTTTTAACATTCACTTGTTTAACTTTGTGGACAATTTATTTGTTCGCCAGTTTTCTTTTAAAAACCTGCAGGAGAGGGGCATGTACTTTAGATTAGTGATGGGCGATACGGGTCAATGTATCGATACTGCGTATCGAGACATATCGGAACGTGGTGTATCAATACGTGTATCGTATCGTATCCTCATGTATCGATTTTTTATCTGTATTGGATAAAATATCGTATCGTATCGTTTATTTATAATAAAAAAAAAAATTAAATATCTCAAATATACAAGCTGCATAGACAAATACTATGTTACTTACAAGCTTGTAAAGAGGGTCATAATAGGTTATTAATAACTTATTATATTATAAGACCTTCCTGTGTCTTTTTATTTGTATCAAACATACATACATAACCTCCAAATTCCTGGAAATCCTCAAATTGGAAAACATTTTGTTATTGTTTTCCTAGTTTTTACACAGGGATAATTAATTGAACCAAAAAGTACTAATAATGATGGTGGGTATGCCACTTACACATTAAATAGTATAATATGGATAATGAGGGTCCCCACTTCCATTAATGGTGGCCCTAGTTTTGAGGTTATTTGCAAAACATAGCTGAAAATACATGTTTTATCAGTGTTTTTGAAGATGCTAGGGTAAAATATTAAATTTCCACTACTACTTTTGAGGGGAGGAAGATGGGAAGACAAATTTCTTACCATAAAAATAAGATTTATATTAATAAATAAACAATACGATATTCGATACGATATTGGCTATAGGTGTATCGATACGGGCATATCGATACACTCCCACGTATCGATACAAAATATCGATATTTTGCGGTCCTTGTATCGATACGCACATCACTACTTTAGATTGGTAAATTTCAAAACGTTTTAAATTCAAAGTTTGTCTTAAGGCAGTCTCAAAACATCTATAGTGGAATGTCAAACTAATAACAGTATAAGAAACTATCTTATGTTTAAATTCATTAAAACTCTCACTAGGGTTCAAACTTTAAAACTATTTTTACTATTTATAAACATCAAATCCACAGTATCAATAATATGGCATCTAATATACGGATAAAATTATTACATTATCGCAACATGGCATATAAATAAAGATCAAATATATAATCGATATACACAACTACGCTATATTACTATGACACAAGGTTAGGCCTCAAATATAACCAACTTCTGACACTACTAACCGATTATGTGTAAATATCTACTTGAATTAAACAGCAAAGCACATATTAAAATAAAAGCATTAAAACACAGTAACAATAGTATCCTATATAAACTTATAAAGCTATACAAAGTTAATAATATAAAATAAAATATCATTGTGCCAGTAAAAAACATCATGCATGGTACGATTCTAGAATATATACTTAGTCTTTAAAATCCACGAGTGGATTGTATATAATTTTCTACGTAATGGTAAAGTAATATTTAACAGCTAACTAAATGACTGATGCATTTTAATTACCACCACGATATCGTTCCAACATTGATTTTGAATCCATTCTCAATTGATAGGGCTACCCTATATTAATTGTGCTGTATTTAGTTTAGATGTGTGCCGTTAAAAATGTATTGTTTTAAAAATTTATTTTGGAAAAGTTCGCAAATTAATATTTTGCAACCTATTGAAAATTTGAACAGATAACTAGATATAAATGTATGTACCAATGCAGTAGAGCACTAAATACTGGTAGGTATCTATTAACCTAGTTTTAACTATGATGTTATGATAAAACACAAATGGTTCTTTGGTTAACACTGTGTTTGATGGATGGAGCACTGAACATACACAAAATAAGACAAATCACACAATAAAATACTAAAATATCTTCAAAGAATACATTTTGCACAAACAATTAGTCAAGCGTAGCGCATAAAAATATTAACCAAGCAGGTGATATCACGGGCTTAATACTGACTTAGGTAGTTGGGCCGCAGTGATCACATAACAATTAACATTGAGACGCTCAGACAGGACCTTCAACAGACGAGCCGCCAGTGGCCAGCGCCATCTTGGACAAAGACGACAGACTACGCTTCGGACTGCTGCCTAAGAAGGTCACATTGGATTCACTAAACAGCTTGCGGAAACTGCAAACAACAAGTGAAATCAGGATAAAAACCACACGAATATAGTATATTGTATACTAAAGGAGGTTGCCAAGCCCCTTATATCCTTAAATACCACGGTTTCAAAAAGGTGAATTTCCAATACCAAGAAATCCTGAGATAACTCTTCTCTGGCCTTGAAACTTAATGGCATTATAAGTTTATTTATTTATTTTCCAATAATCACATAACATCATATTCAGACAGGTGATTTGTCATTGTTACAATAATTTATAGTCTCTATACTAAAACTATTACTAAAATAAATGTCATATGCTGAGCCTTATCATCTACACAGCTTCCATATATTCCTCCAATGAGAAGAAGGCCTTCTCCAAAAGAAAGTTTTTTAACTTATTTTTGAATTTAGGGAATGAATCCGTGTCCCTAATTGAAGAAGGTAATTTGTTGTATAGTTTTGGACCCATGTACTGAGGAGATAAATGGAATACTTTAAGGCTGTTTTGAACTGGTTTTATATTGTTTTTAAATCTAGTGTTATGAGGATGATCATGTTGATCTTCCATGAATGTGTCAAAATCACTTTTAACCATTAAAGCCAGTTTAAAGATATAAGAACTATACAAAGTAAGAATTTTAAACTGAATGAAAAACTCTTTACTGTGAGTAATTCGAGACACTTTGGCTAAGACTCTAACTGCTCTTTTCTGAAGGATAAAAATTTGTTTGGCATGACTAGAAGAACCCCAAACCGTTAAACCGTAATTCATGATGGAAGAAAAATAAGCGTGATATACTGCTAATTGTGTGTCTACATTTGTAGTATGTCGAATTACCCGAAGAACAAGTATAGCTGATCTGAGTCTCTTTGATAGATTCTTAATGTTTGTTTGTCAATTAAGTTGCCAATCTATATCAATTCCCAGGTAACTGACCGAGTTTTGAGAATATATTGATGTTTGGTTCAAATTTACAGCAATGTCTCGATTCTCATTAGCAACTGAAAAGTGAATTAGTTGTGTCTTTGACACATTCATAGATAGACCATTTGCTGTGAACCAGTTTAACGTTTTGTTCTCTGATTTTGTGACTTAATCAAATGAAGGTTCTAGTTTAAGCAAATATGGTTGTCAAGTCTTCTTTTGGGTGTTTCAAAGCATGAGTCACCAAATAGTTTATGAAGAAGCACTGATCAAACATCAATATGGCATTATTCTGGTCCTCAAGTTTGGACGATAAAAGCACAGATTACATGGGACTGTGAGTGTTAGTAGTAGGTGACCTATTAGATGTGTGACAGAGATATTTTTTATGTACAGATTCAAATAGGAGCATTGTCTAAAAATAATACAGCTAACAACATAAAGAAAAAAATCATACTGTCTAACATTAAGGATACTGTAAAAGCCAGACTTTTCAATAATGTGGCAACGGTCTAAAAATATTTTGGAAAGCTATATTAGCTTGTTTCGCAAATTGTTTATCAAACAGCATATATTATGTACACTAGACTAAATTCGAGGACATTTTATTTTTATCTTGAGAATTTTATATCGCTATTAAAATAAGAGAAAGCATAATAAAACACAAAATAATGGCCTGCTGGCCAATTATTTAGTCAATAGTTTAAAGTTTAAACATGTAGCTATAACTATACATACAATTTGCGGATCCCAGAATCAGATTTCTTCCATGGTGCATCATCAGGCTCGTATGGAAGAGGACCTTGAACTGTGGAGTCATCATCTACAGGCCTACAACATTGTAAAGATATCACCTTCACACCATGTGACATAGTTAGTAGCAGAAAACATTCAATAAACTTACATGCGTGACAATACACAAACTACATCGGGATGATCATTCACTACAGCACTACAGTCTGGTTGCTCAGCTAGTGCGACTACTCACTAACACACACGCAGGTCTAACACAAACAGATGGGAGGAATTAGGAGGATCCTCTGAACTGCCACGTGAGTTATCACTGGCTTAGAAATTTGGTTATGACTTTTTTATTTTACATTTGTTATGAAATTTCTTGATGCTTTTGACTTCAGATTAGAATGATACTAGTGATGGTCGGATCCAGATCCGACTACCTGATCCGCCGGATCTGAGCTAGAACCGACGCCCGACTGGATCCACAAAAAATCGGATCTTGGGCTGGATCCAGTTTGAATGGATCCGTTTTTTTATTCTATTAACACAAAACGTCCTTAAAGTACAATTGAAGAACAGGTGTTTTGTCATAGTTATGTATTTTTAAATAAAATAAAATAATTGTAAATGCACAATTTTAAAATGGGTTAAAAATAAAGGTAAAAAAAATAAATAAATAAGAATAAAAAACCCTCATAGCTTTGGAATGGATCAAGATAAAAAAAAACTGTTTGTGGCATTGTAATCAGGGTAAAAATCTAATTCAAAATAATTTGTCACAACCACACCTTTACATTTGAAAAAAATATTTTGCATCCAATATGGCAAATCCAAGATGGCGGCTGTAAATGACCACCTTGTCAAAATGAAGTACTTACTACCCAATAGTACCCAACAATGTTTGGAAGTGGTCTGGGATTGATATCTGAAAAAATTTAGAAAAAAGTTGGTGGTGTTCCTTGTATGTGTCCATGTACAAGACTAACTGTGTCCATATATAAGACTATCTGTGTCCATATACAAGACACAGACAGTCTTGTATATGGAATGGACACATTTAGTTTTGTACATGGACACAGACAGTCTTGAACATGGATACAGATCGTCTTATACAGGGTGGTAAAAAAGTCCCAGGACAGTTAAATATATCAAAAAATAATGTAGATAGAGCTACAATACTTGGTACAAAGTTACAGGGCATAAAACTCTATTTTAACAAATATTTGGTGATCCAATAACTCTTCAGGGGGACGGCCTACAAGACCTATGCTTACGTTAACAATTTTCTTCCGATTCCTAGGGCTGTGCCCCCTGAGGAGTAAGCGTATAATAGCAATGTAAATTAAATGAATCTTTGAACATCTGCCATTTTGCGCAGGATCAACCTTTTGAAGTGCGGTTTGCGGCATTGTATTCTACTAAAAAGACCTTTAATTTGATGTGCATATTGACCTATGCTTCCGTTTAAGATTTTCTTCCGACTCCTTGTGGGCCGTCCCCCTGAAGAGTTATTGGATCACTGAATATGTGTTAAAATAGAGTTTTATGCCCTGTAACTTTGTACCAAGTATTGTAGCTCTATCTACATTATTTTTTGAAATATTTAACTGTCCTGGGACTTTTTTACCACCCTGTATATGTAGGCCTACACAGTTAGTCTTGTACATGGACACAGACAGTCTTGAACATGGATACAGATCGTCTTACATATGTACACAGTTAGTCTTGTACATGGACACAGACAGTCTTATATATGGACACAGATAGTCTTTGACATTACCTACCCATATGAGTTATTGACGTCGACATACACTGTCACATTACCTAGCCATATGAATTTTTGACATCAACAAATACAGTACTGTGAAATCGCCTAGCCATATGAGTTATTTAAAAAACCCCGCCCTTGGAAAGAAAAGAAAAAAGTTATATGGATCCGGAACCGGTACCGACATTTTCTTGGATCCGCCCATCACTAAATGATACCAGACAATATTTATTTTACTTAACTAATCTAGAAGTTACAAAATATTTTCATCACAATTCTGTAAACTATTTCTTGTCATAACCATTTTCAAGGAGCTAAACAAAAATAAAATAACACCAAACATTTATTTTTTTAATTATTTTTTTTTAAGAGGTTGGCGGCCTCTTTAACCTTGCATTTGCCCGTCCACATAGACTACAGATCTGTGCGTGGAACGTATCCAGCAAAGCAAGGGGTGAGCCGGTACAGTACAAAGGTGAACTGTACTGATAAAAGTTTGTGGCAGTGACCAGGATCCAAACCCACGACACTGCTGCCTTGGGCTCGAAGTCCGCAACGCTACCAACTGAGCCACCGGCTCACCCACATTTGACTCCGACTTGTTTATCTAACTAGATATGAATTGCGATTTTTGAGGCATCATACAACAGATGTTATAATTCTAGGTAGTGAAGGCAATCGGGGCTTATGCTACAGCACTGTGGATAAATGAGCAGGATAAACTAACCATACGTAACACATACGTCAACATTATTATACAGTAGGGTCCAGATGATCTGACCTACCCTGTATATGACGGAGGACTGAGACTGTACATTGTAGTGGGTGCATCATGACAACCCTTATCTTGCTTCATGAAGATGTGGGTCAGGCTTAAAGCTCATGCATTTCATGCTTTCTCTTTGTTTTCACATGCTGCACACAACCCTCTCATACCCGCAAACCTTAAGTCTTACCTTGAATCATTTGTGGCTCATTGGGCATTTACAGCTTTGTCCTAAATCTATATTAATACGCAAGCAGTTTTCTTTTCACAGTCATAACTCGATAACGGCTTGACGGATTTTAACGTTTGAGGTGTCAAATTAAAGGTATTTTCACGTAGATGTGAAAATACGTCTCAGAATAATAAGAAAGGGCATCACTTATATACAGTTAAGAGCTAAAGTTTGGGAACGGCGGCGCTATCTGTTGACATTAGATCAAACTCAATTCCCTTTGTTTACAACTAAACATATGGACATAGTTTGAAATAGTTTTTAAGTTTAACCACAGACTGCAGGACTTATTACTTCAGGAGAAAATCCGGAATTTTATATTTTTACTAAAACATCTGTTAACTAAGTCTGGTTCATAAATAAAGAGTTTCCTAGCAAGACCTGACAACATATCTTTAAATATACTACGTGAAGGCGATTTATACGAAACACTACTCTTCAGTTAATAATGGGCGGATATTTTCAAACTATGTGTCAAAATTAATAATTTTTTGTGTAGACGCCCAATTTCTTTAACCAATTTCTGTAATAAAAGTCCTCGGGCTTTGCTCCACAGGCCATCAAAATCCCAATGTATTTCTTATGAAGAAAATTTACTAACCCAGCTGTTATGCTTTGTTCTGCTATTTAATTTAATTTGTTTACAAAGATAATTGTTTCTTGGTGCCATGTGGTCAATGACTTATACTTTTGCATATATTTTAAATGCAATACACTATATAAAGTGGTAGCAATACATTATCTTCATTTAAATAATCAATAAACACGATTGAGCCTTTGCCTATATGTTTCCTGGTAAGTGTGTTGTAACAGTTTCTAATAGTATATTATAATAGTATCTTACAGTAAAACCGAATTATTCTTTTCTCCATTCTCACCCCGTAGCGAAGCACGGGCAGAGCAACTAGTTTTAATTAATACTAAAGTAGGTGGTTTTACTTGGTTGTTATTTATTTTTTGACGATTGATGATTAAAAACAAATAACCTACGAGTTCAATGTTCCTACTTCATAACTAGTATATGTGTGTTTATTGAAAGTTTTAAATGTTAAATATAGTTAAAAACATTTTTTTAATGGTTTTCAATATTTTCAAATGGGAAGCAACATATATTTATCCAATATTGTTGCGGTCAGTTTAGCCCTCAGAATGTTATGTGTCAAAATGTCGACACATAACACACTTTGTGTAGTGTTTTGTGTCGAAATTTCGACTCACAAACACTGTTTACGGCGAAGGCTCTATGACTGACAAAATCGGATTGAACTGGATCGAGTTAGGTACCTATAGTTTTATTTGGCAGATTCTAAGCTTTCTCCCGAAGTCTGTCTCTAAGCGCTTTTTTCTCTCGAGCCGATCTTAATTGTAGCAGACAGCTGACGTGCGTATTTGTAAACAGCTTGAATAAAACACATCAGTTCGCACCGATGACTGATGTGTTTGATTACGTTTGTCATTGTTTTTGCATTATAAGAAGATTTAAGTGATTTTGAAGGGCTGGTTGATGATCCTGAAGAAGTAGGTAGTGATATTGATGTAAATTATCAGCCAGATTCCTAGCTAAGGTTAGGCTATGCATTCATAGCTAAACGCTATGTACCGAAACCTGTTTTTTGTCCATAACTTATTTATTTGCAAATCTACTTCCTTATATTATTATATTATTGGAATCCTCATAAAATTTAGAACAAAGTGGCTATTTTCAAATATTTATAGGCCTATAATTTATACAATTTCATTGAGCGCAAACTTATTTTTTTTTTTAATTTTTCCAAAATATTTTTTTTTTACCTAAACAATTTTTTTGAAACAAATGTTCCTTATGTTTTATGTATAATATTGAAGCCCATGATTTTCCAAACAAAATGGTATATAGAACAGTATAATTAACATTGTTTTCAAGCTTCTCAGATCCGTTTTAATAAAACCTTGCAAATGCGCAAAAAATAGGCAGACATTAAGGCCAAAACTAGGGATACTCGGAGGGTTAAGTTGGGATGGTTGAAATTTTACTGCTCTGCAGAACAAATCTATAGGAAATATATTTTTTCAGTCCTAAGGCACATCATCACAAACTTCTTCAAAAAATGCCCAATTTTAATAGTGGCTTTATGGATGAAAAGTGACTCAAAAACAATTTTAACTCTTGGTGGTGTAGCCAGTAAAAGGACAGTTAACTTTTGAATTGAATGGGTTATTCGATGATTTACTTATGGGTATTTTATCTTGATTTTCCTTCATCCTATAAACACAAAAATACAAATAACTCTAAAACAAACAATAAAAAGAGTTTTTACACTTACATCTGGTTCAACCAAAGTTAAAAGCTGGTAAAGTAGGTGCTCGCTAATTTGGTCATTCAGGACTTTGGCTGTGCCGGATTATTGAAAATGCAAAATTACTGAACGTTTTCTATTAACAGCCATTATTGTCGACTAGTGTAAACACCACTAGCTTTAAAGTGTCAAAAAATCATTAATTGGTGGGTCATTATTTCAAGTTTGATTGTGGTTCCTCTTCTTTTACAAGTGATATAAATGCTAAAAATAATCAAATACATCAAAATAAAACACCCCCGAAATACATGAAATGCAACTGACGTCTACCATTGGTTTCCGACTCTAACATGCTAATATAGCTCGAAACAGCATTAAAAATAATGTTTAGACGTGTAGCCCAATGCCGAAATTAATGAATGCTGGACCATCGGATGCTGGGTTAGCAAGCTATTACTAAATTCAAGTTATGTACAGCGCAGCACTGCAACAGTAATGTTGCCGTTCCAGTGTCAGTGGTGTTAGTGTTTGTTTACTCACCGTCAGATGATGAGGTGATATGAAGACTGTGAACAACTGGAGGCCAACCCACAGTGATTAAACTGCCTGATCGAGCCCTCTTGAAGACAGGGGCCCCATCATCATCAGGAGAAGCAACAACATTGGATCTACCACAGCCAGGATCAAACAAGCAAGCATACATGCACACCAAAGCATTACCATCATGCATTTTACAAAGCAATCAGGCTCCAATGACAAGGCATAACAATTAAACAGATAAATTTATCTCTTCAATCTATTCCCTGAACAAGTCCAATGTTATGACAAAATATCTGTAATGTGTTGTGATCTTTTATTTATATATCTACAGGGTGGGGCAAAAGTTTTACTCGCGCAGGTACTCATAAGTCATAAGTTGTTTATTGCCACAAAAACGTTTACGTTTACATTATTCTGGTTTCCCCAGATGAAACAGGTGACTTGTAAATTATAAATATTAAAAAAATTACATAAATAAACTAACAACAAAAATTGACTCCGGTTGTGAAGGTGATAGGCGGACACTTTTGGTCTTGTTGCCATCGGCCACTCATACCATGTCAGTAAACTCATGATTAGACCAGAAAACATTGAGGTTATGCAGTGTATGCCTGTTTTAAAGTCAGTGATCGTGATGCGAAGAGTTTTTGCAGGCGGCTTTTTATTCTGCTCAACGACACTTATTGTGCAAACACGATAAAATTGTTGGTCAAAAAGATGGATGAGAGTAGTAGCACCGTTGAAACTGAGAAACAGACAATGGTGATCAGTGAGAACACCGGGAAATGTAAGTGTTGGTCAGAGCAGTGGCCAAGGCGTTCCACTAGGAGGCATGCTATTGCATTAGCAATGTCCGATTGTAGTTGCAGAAGAACTCTAAACTTAGAATAGTGTTTTCATCAATAGAAAATTATAAGTATTAAAAGAATCTGATTAAAAACACAAAACTTTGTGTAGCCAAATGCTTCACGGAAGTAAATTTGTATATTTTTCACATACTCCACTACACTAAAGCTAATCTTCATCAACTCACTTGTAGAGAGAGTATACACTCTTACAATACAAGTGGCAAACCCAATCTAGATATCCCTGCCCATAGATTGGCCAAACAGATAACTGCCATAAAATAAATTGCATAGGGTTTTTTAATAAATTAGGTCTGGCAGCAAAACAGGTTCCTTTTAATAGGTTTAAGTTTAAAATGTTTGAGTGGCTCATCAAAAATCTATATTACTGTATAACAGAGTACAGTGGAGTCCCGATAATCCGAACTTCGGTAATCCGAAAGTCCGCTTAATCCGAAACAAAAAAAATTTTTTTGGATATTTTTTAAAGTTTTTTGGGAATTTTTTGAAATTTTTTTTTTAAACTTTTGACACAGTTAGCTGTACCTCGTCAAAGTATTCTGTAGAATACGCCTCGCGGCTGGGCGAGATAGACTTTTTTTGTAGAGTATTTTAGTAAATATTTCACCATTTTTGTTACTGTAACATTTTAAATTTTCGTCCGCCAAATCACAAATGGATTTTATTAAGTGATAATGCTGAAGCCAATAGGTCTAGCCTTAAGGAATGTGAAAAACAATCCCGGGCTCGTGCCTGCGTCCGAAAAAAAAGTAGTAAAAAGTAAGACGAAAAAAAATTCAAAAAAAAAAAAAAAACATAATCTGAAATTTGAAATGGGCCCGGTCCTAACCATTTCAGACTAACAGGACTCTACTGTATTTAGTTTCTGATGTTAATATTAATTTTTAATTTAGAACCCACTTTTTTTATAGCTTTGGTTTTGATTTCTGTTGACTATGTCTATTCCTTGTAAAAGGTCAATGACAATAAAGCTCTTGATTCTTGATTCAGGAGTGATTTGCACAAGAATTTGGCGAACATGTTGCCAACTGCTAAACCAATTCTGCTCTTATAAACTCAACAGTTAGCATTGTTCCCACTGATCTTTGTCATCCGTATTTTTCAGTTTTAAAAGTGCAACCGCTTTGCTACAACTTATTAACCAATGATTGTATCATGTCGGCACTAGAAACAGTGTTGTTGCGCAGAATAAATAGATGCCGGTGAAAATCACCTTCTGTCACAATCACTATTTTGTTGTATTGGAAATGCACATACTGCACAACCTCGATGTTCTCCTGTCTGTGACCGATGGCAACAAGACCAAATGTGTCCACCTACCACGAACAAAGCAGATGTACTATACAAGAGAAACTGCTTAATCCACTGTATTGAACCCTGAAATCTAATTAAACTGATCTAACTGAGCTCAACCCCTCTTCAAAATAGTTCCTTATCATCTATTTGGCTTTCCTTTCAAATATAGATCAATTTGTTTCCATCTGATAACATTTAAACTCCATTATATTTAAGCACTGTCTTTAGAATTGCTGGCCTGGCTAAATCTCAACATTCATTGATGAAATAGTTAATGTTGGCATTCTGTCTTAATTTCATGAGATATAGGCCTAACACATTGATGTCATAACCCGAGACTATGATTGTTGGCATTGATTAATAAGGTTAATTTTTGGAAAGTGAAATAAAACATTTACAATTTAAATAACTAAAGAAATAACTACAAATAATTACTATTTTTAAGTTAAGACACCTTGGAACTAGATACAGGTCTGAAAATACTTACGACTCAGGTTCAGGTTTTGGGCGAAAAGACTCAAGCTCATCCTCTAGCTCGCTTACTCTAGCTTTGAGCTCGTTTCGTTCAACAAGAATCTCTTTCAGTTCAGCGGTGGAGAACATAGGAGCATCGGGGTCCTGAGTAGAGGCTGCTTCTACGGAACTCGGCTTCTGTAATGTTACGTTACAATTAGCAGCTGACTAAACAGACTCGCTAAACTGAACTTGATAGCACCATTTAGTGCCTGGAATTTAGTGAAAATCCAGATCAAACGGAAAAAGTTGAAGCAAATCATACTTTTAGAAGGGAAAATGTATTCAAACGTGATAAATAATGCCAATTTCATGATCAATTCAGCAATCTGTACCTTAACAAGTAAGAATGATAAAAATTAATGCTCAAAACATTTTTACTGTGTAAAACAAATTTGATACTAGATTTAAAATGCAGTATAGTTTTTCATTTAGCATTAAAACTTAAGAACGACTACTGCAAAGGCTTTATATAACTTGAATTTAGTAACAGACTGTATTAAAAACAGATCTAGATTCAACACTGGATCAGAGTAAATAAATTGCCAGAGTGTATTAAACATATTTATTCAATGGAAACCCGCGGTTTGCATGTGATGCACTATGGGCCCGAGAGATTATTGCCCCGCTCTCCATCTACCTTAAGGGTTATTTTTTTCCTCCTTGCACCCCCAACAACCTTGAAACCCATTACGCCACTGGACCCAGGCCCACCGGGCCCGTTTATAAAAGCGGCGCTGACGAAAACGTAAAAAAAGAGATGTCCTAGTTGTTAATGGATAAAGCTTACAATAGTGCCTAAAATTTCCTGAATAATGATTTTTTTATCTATTTATAAAACATTATTTTGTTTTTAATTAATCTGTAAATTTAAATTTACAAATTTCACCTGTTAACCCAGATTTGTTGGTTTAATTGTAAACATTTATGTGAAAAGAATCATTGACTTGAGTTTACTGAGCAAACATCTTGCGAGGAACAAAGGAAAAATTATCCATTCATTAGACAGATGTCAAGAGAATGTCATAAAATGGAGCAGTCAGATAAAGTGTGGTGAGGTAGGTTGGTAAAGTAAATCATTTCCTGTAAATAATTGTAAGATAATAGTAGAATAAGGGTTACACCTTCTGATCCTTGACAAGGATTTCCAAACACGTTTAAATTAGTAAAAGACCGATGAATCCTCCACTTATGAATGGCACTGGACAAATACTTTTTCAGACAGCAAACTTTGGTTGTAAAAAAACAAATTTTCATTTTCAAAATCTTTGAGAGGCCAGTGGAGACCATAGAAGCAAAACCATAGCCTAATACTAAATTGATAGGACTAACACATCACCGTTTTACTAAGTTTTCCAGAGTAAATTAGTTTACCATGGTGATGGTATGCTATAAATATTTGAAGAGCTTAAGGTTTGCTGTTTAGACTACCGGATCTGAGCTAGAACCGACGCCCAATAGGATCCACAAAAAATCGGATCTTGGTATTGATCCGGTTTTAATAGATCCTGGTTTTTTTTTAAATTCTATTAACACAAAACGTCCTTTATAAAGTATAATTCATACATAAGAACAGGTGTTTTATCATAGTCATATATTTTAAAATCAAATTAATAGTGACTATCTGTATCCATAAACAAGACTATCTGTGTCCATGTACAAGACTATCAGAGTTCATGTAAATACTATCTGTATCCATGTAAACACTATCTGTGTCCATGTACAAGACTATCTGTATCCATGTACAAGACTATCTGTGTCCATGTACAAGACTATCTGTATCCATGTACAAAACTATCTGTGTCCATGTACAAGACTATCTGTATCCATGTACAAAACTATCTGTGTCCATGTACAAGACTATCTGTGTCCATGTACAAGACTAACTGTATCCATGTACAAAACTATCTGTGTCCATGTAAAGACTATATGTGTCCATGTACAAGACTATCAGAGTTCATGTAAAGACTATCTGTATCCATGTAAATACTATCTGTGTCCATGTACAAGACTATCTGTGCCCATGTACAAGACTATCTGTGTCCATGTACAAGACTATCTGTGTCCATGTATGAGACAGTCTGTGTCCATCAAGAGATTCAAGAGATTTATTATACCAATCAGTAATAAATACAATAGGTACCGTCAAAACTATGCTAAAAATAAAACAAACCAATTCATATACAGTAGAACCTCGCTAATCCAAACTCCGATGGTCCGACTCCTCGCTTGGTCCGACCGTGCCGCCGACACAATAGGCTTCCACTAACATAACCTCATTGTCCAAGAAAAATACCTAGAAAACTTTATAAATTGTGTTTTTTTAGTCTAATGTGTTGAAATTTGTTCTATATTTAATCATTTCTGCCCATTATTAATATTAAGTAGGCTCCTACATTATTGTTTTTTTAAACAATAATTCACAACAATGAACTGTGAACAATAGTTCACAGTTCATTTGAAACAAATTAAATGGAAGCAAAAAAAAGAAATGTTGATCAAAGCTTCAAGGTTAAGCTATCCGTTTGCACTGACAATGTCTGCTCCTTTAGGCCTACTACACATGACAGATCCGTCTGCTGTGCGCTTGCTATGTCACAACATTTTGTGATTGGGTGACCATGGCAACTTGTTGAATGGGTGGATAAAGATAAACTCAAGAAAGAATAGAAGAACAAACAAGAAGAATAAGCGATGTTTCTATTTCATTGTTATCTTTATCGGTGTATTTTAAGACTGTTGTTATGCTATAAGTAGACTACTATTATTTTATACTTTGTTATGCGTTATCTAAGGTTTTTATCTTATTCTTTTGACCTGAAACAGCGTAGCAGTAGCCTATGACTAGCAGTAGCTTAATGGACTTTCTATTGTTCTGTCCTCTATTTTGCTGTACAATGTTTGGCAATTTGTTTGTTTAAGTACAAGTTTGAATAAGCTGTGATTTTAAACGTTACAGTTTTTATTACTGAACCAAGGTTAATGACATTTTAATATAATTATCATGACTGCGCAATAGCCTACTAATTGTATTTTTATAATGTAAAATGCAAATTATCTCATTAAAGTCAATCTATACAATTAGTATTTAGGGTTTTTTTTTGTTGGAAATAACTGTTTTATGTCATGTTGGATTGACCGTGTTTATCAGTTAGCCGTGGTCTGTTTAAAATGCAGTTTTACTACGTTTTTATGTCAATAAAAAGGTTCCTCTGATGATAAGACCTTTTTACTGCTCCGACCATGCTACCGGTCCCGTAGGCGACGGATTAGCGAGGTTCTACTGTAAATAAATTAAATGTTAACCATTACAAACCATGCTGAAATTTAATCTCACACAGCAAAAAAAGCAGCAAACCATGAAGTTATGAAAAAAAAAAAACAAAAAAAATTAAATTGTGACACATAGGGTACCTGAGTAGCCTATATAAATAAAATTACAAATTAAAACAATGGCCAGCCTTCAGAGCTTCATAAAATTCAAATAAAATAAATTCAATAAAATTCAAGTTTATTGTGTCTGTATATAAGACACTCTGTTTCCATGATATGAACACAGGCAGTCTTGTATATGGGCACAGATAGTCTTGTATTATGGGCACAGATAGTCTTTGACATTGCCTGCCCCATTTGTCATTGGTATTACCCATATGAGTCATTGAAGTTGACATACAGCCACATTACCTAGCAATATGAGTTTTTGACATCAACAAATACTGTGAAATTGCATAGCCATATGAGTTATTTAAAAAACCCCGTCCTTGGAAGAAAAAAAGAAAGAAATAAAACCTATCTGTGGATCCAGATTTGGTACCGACGTCTTCTTGGATTCGCCCACCCAAAAAAAAAAATAGTTAAAAAACTAAAATAGTTAAAACTAAATAGTAAAACTCTGGATCACCAATGCAGAATGACAGCGTGATATTGTTGCAGAAAGGAAGAGGCCTAGTTAGATCGGACCAATCTACAATAAGCTAAAGAACACACACAGGAAGACGATCTTGGAAATGCCTATGAAATTAATTTCCTAAATATTGCCGTGATCACAGAAGACAATGATGATGTCTCGAGATACGTTCAAGATTATGATATCTCCGTGACCTAGAAAGATATTTTTGATTTTCCCTCGATTGCAATTTAATAAACTATTTGTATACCTACTCCGGTACACCTATCCTTTAACAATTAATATTTTAATACTTTCCAAAGCGACCCAATTTTGGCCCGAGATCCAACGGTCAATTTTTTTACCCAAACTGATCTAAACTAAAACAAGTCTCACAGTCTTAAGAGTCTTAAGGTTAAGAGAACAAAATCTAAAGCCAAGCAGCTCTGCAGCTACTATGTTAACTCACTTAAATTACTCCAATATATAGATTTTAGTCCAATTAAGAAAGGCAAAATTACTTTAATTATTAAAAGTAAATTAGGACTAAACTATACAAACTCAGATATCCTCAAATGATTCATGAACAAATGTAACTTTCTGCATGAAGATGTTGAGATATTTTAGGTCCGTCACAGAAAGTCAAAAACATTCTGCTTTGGGAACCGTGGATAAACGTTACACAACTATTTAATTAAAGTTTATGTCCAAGAGTTGCCAATTCTAACATTAGGTCGACTTAATGCCACGTTTACACAAGACCAGTAGAGCAGGCAGGTTACTTGCCGCTAATGTATTTCAAGTTACCTGAGGCAACTAGCCTGCCTGCGAACTGGCTTTGTGTAAACACAGCTTAAGGGTTAAAATAAATTTAGGCTATATGGAAACATTTAATTTTTTCACAACAAGTTCTTAGAGATTACTAATCTTCAAACCAAACCTATACAACTTAAAAACACCAAATTAGTACGAAATAGGCCTAGTACCTAGGCTTACCTACAGAATTCAATTTTTGCTTGGAAAAAAAATGCTTTGAAATTTGTTTTATTAAAAAATTAATACTATTTTTATCTGTTGTTAGTTAGGGTTCTGAACTATTGAATTGGCCTTGATGAAATACTTACGTAAGAACTGGAGAGTCGGCTGTTTTCATGCTTTGCCTCGCCGAGCTGTTCGATCATCAACTTAATGTTGTGCCTCATACAGTTTATTTCACTATGCTTGTCGGCCCTTTCATCAATCAGTCCTCGGATCTGTTTTTGAGCTACGTAATGTTTACGAACTAGTTCTTGCCTCACAGCGGTCAATTTCTTCACTTGGGCGTTCAGCTGAAAAAGAAAAAACACATCAATCTGACAATTTTACAAACAACATTTTAGACAGTATTGATATAAGTAGCTTAAACTTCATAACCAAGTTATGAGTTGTAAAACCATTTTAAATATGTTTATGCCCCAATGTTTTTGGTAAGTCTTGTTTTATTGTAGTGCACTATTTTACTTTATTGTCTTAGGTTCAACTTAGGTAACTAAATAGTGGAAACAGAATTTAAAATTAATCAAATCAATCTTTATTGTTACAACGGTAGAGCAGTACGAATACAGTAGGACCCCTCATATCCAGCCAGATAAACCAACCTAAGTTACTATGAAAATGATAATTCATACCTAATAATAATATGCAATATATTCTGGCTTATTTTTAGAAGAATAAACATGTTTGTGAAAAAAATATTACTTTTTGGAGGTTCAATTATCAATTATCAATCATTGAGATGGGGACGCCAACAAGTATGACGCCCAAATATGAGTGAAGGATGAGTGTAGAATGGTGTGTGATGACCTGTGTAGCTTTGTTACTGACTAAGATCAGCGGTTTCATTAGTCAGGATAATTTATTTAAAGCCCAAATAAAGTTGTTAAAGTTTTTAACTAATGAATGAAATAATATGATTCTAGGTAACAAAAACTATTAAATAATGATGGGAATAAAAATTACAATAAATTGGCCTTGAAGATCATCAGGACTTAAATTGTATATACATTTCTACTCAACCTGCTTATCCATTTTGTGAAATAGGCCTACATAGATTTATGTAGGCCTACTGTACTAACCCTGCTTTGGAAATAATCCACCAACTTTTAGAGCCAACTGTTAGAGGTTAGGCCTACTAACTCAACTGAGTAGTGATATAGTAAAATGTATAAACAAGCAGACAGACAAATAGTGAGAACGCTCAAGTCGCAAAGACTAGTGCTTGCATCTAAACGTCTGTAAGCTGAAAGACAAACATTTTGATATTGGCTTCCTGGAAGGTGCCGGATAAACAGAGGACCGGTAAAACCAAGGCCGGATATCAGGGATTCTACTGAAGAAAAAATTAAATCAGGCTTTTGCCTGTGCGTGATAAGAGTTCTCACTGGCTCTTATCAATGTCTACCAAGATAAACAATGATTAAAAGCAACATACTGAATGACAGTTTATTTTTATTTTATTTTTTTATGAGAATGATTATTTACCCATTAGTTATGATTTTACCTCGTTTATTTCTGAGGTTTTGGCTGAGCAGTCCCATTCAACTTTGCGTAGTTTGTCTCTCAATTCATCCACCATACCTCGGAGACGTTGTAATACGGCTATGTCCACCTCCACCTCAGAGCTCATCGGCTGAGCTGTAACAAATGGTTATTAACATTATTATAGCGAGGGAAAGTTTTCAAGGCCTAAGTTAAAAAATACTGTTGTGTTACCACTTGCTTGTGTGATTGTTGTTACAGTAAGGAATAATGTTTACAAAAAAACAATTTGAGATCCACAGAAAAACTGTATTTATTGCTTACATGTTGGAAGTGAAAATAAAATAGGCCTAGTCTTAGTTAGTCTATAACAGGTAGCTACAGACACAAAATACGAGTATGTACAATTTTTACCTGGCATATCCTGCTTGGCCAACAAGGCATCTTTCAACTTCCGATTTTCTTCTTGTGTTTTTCTAACTACAGTTTCTAAGTCTTGAGTTTCTTTCCTCCAATGATCCTCAATCTGTTCTAGTTCCTTAAAAAAAACAGTGTTTGAGATAAGTTAATGTCCAATTCTTTGTTTGAAGCTCATTGTTGGTGATGGTGAGTTAATGTTGTTCAAAGGTTTATTACGGACATTTTCCATCACGATTGTAAAAAACAATACACAACGTTTCGGGATCTGGAATCTGATCCCGTCCTCAGGTGAAAAAACTTAACTAACACATTACAACTAACAATACACTAACGTCCAACCAAAGTTGGAATAGCCTACGTTAATGTGTTAGCTAGTCATTTTACAGTAGACCCCCTCTTAACCGACCTCTTATTAACCGATAATCGGATTATCCGCCTTCGATCGTAAAATAATACAGTTTGTTTTAACCGACCTTGCTTTGAGAGCCGTTCGGTTTAACCGCCGCTTTCTAGGAATCTCGGCATTTCCGCTCCCACGCTGGGCAATGAGAACTGAACCATACGCTTATCTCCACAGGATATGACTTAGAATAAGTTATTTTGTATTGATCACAAAAAATATAGCATAGCCTAATTGTCAGTTTGTCATCATCGTTCATAGCCCGAGCAGATCTAATCTGATTTGTTATCTGTGCGACAAATTTATAACATCATAAAGTGCGTTACGATTTTGAGAACTGATTATCTTATCGCTGGAGTAAACAAACAACCCAACTTGTAGGGAGGGCAGGGAAGGGGGTTAATAACTAACTCCAAGGTCAAGATAGTTATTGTGCCTCGAGCCTCCAGTGAGAGGCTATAGATAAACACACCGTCTTGTAACAAAATGGTTGCTTGTATCTTTAATTTCGACAAAAGGATTTGTACTGTATTACGATAGATTTGGAAAGCATCAATTAATATATTACAGTACTAAAGTTGAGCCGCAAGGGTTCACTAGTTATAATATATTCCACTGAATGTAGGCCTATTTGACTTAACCGTGTTTTGTGTTTATTTGTGAATTTTCTATCAATACGAAAAAGGAGATAAGAGTAGGCCTAGTTTATTTTATAAATAATGCAAGTAAGACTTCAAAATAATGATTATATAATTCCAAATGAATAGCACTTCATTATGTTATGATTTTAGGGAATGCCCGTTTTAACCGACCTTTTGAGTTATCCGACCTAGGTCCGGTCCCATTAGGGTCGGTTTAGAGGTGGTCTACTGTACTTGAATAGATCCAAGAGCAATATATCTTCTTTTAATAATCAGCTGGTGCCTAAATAGGTAGGCCTAACTATGTTCAGTAAGTTAGCCTAAATAAAACTGCAATGAACAGTCAGTTTCCAAATTCTTCTTGTTCTATACAAACAGTTTTCATGCATTTATAATCCAACTTGGTAAGGGCTGTAACCCTAAATATTGTAATAGCAGGAAATCATACTACGAGGACCAACCAAGAAGTACCAATTGTTTCGCATCGGCACACCATCTTGTTAGTGTGCACCAAAAAATTAGTGTCACCGATGAGATCTATGTACAGTAGGGCCTACCTCTTGTAAACAACCGAGTACTCTATCCACTTCACCACGAACACTGATGGCTGTACGTACATCGTACAACAACCCGGTGACGTTACTGCCAGACACCTAACCCACGTTCGGTGACCGGACGCGTATCCTCTGCGTAGATTAGGCTACTTTTTATTTTATAAGTGATATAGTAAATAAAATCGAATGAAGGTTTACTAATCATGTCGTGATGTAATAAATCAATATTAGTGTTGCCCAGTTAAGAAACTGTACCCGACACAAGTATCAAGAAAAGTGTTAAAATAAACAAACATTGTAACATGCACTAACTTAGTAAGCCTACTACTAACATGTCCTTCAGCCACATCCAAGAAACTGCCATATTTTATACAAAAATTGCATAAAACCCTAAGGAAACATCAAATAAAGGGAACCTATTTTACTAGATTGGATTATAGCCTAAGTTATTACAACTTACTCTTTCATAACGAATCTTATCTTCGGCCTTTTCAATCTTTTCACTTTCAAGCTTCATTATTTTATTTTCTAGTTCTTGCATGTATGAGTTCTCACGTTCATTTTTGGCAGCTAGTACTTCTAAATGTTCAAGAGCTGTAATAACTTTAGGCATGAGCCCAGTAACTGCTTCAGACCCATAACAATCAATCATCTTCTCAAACTCTTTCCCAATCTCTGAAGCAATATCATAGACATCTATAACAGTTACTTCCGTATCATTTGAGTCTTTCATCCTTTCTTTTAACGGCATCTAGCCTACCAATATCAGTAGTACGAAAGGTCTCCAACAAAATCAAGGAAACGTGAAAGGAATAACTAACTATGAAAAAACCAAATTATATCAACAGGAAATCATCACCCTTTTAAACAATCAGGTAGATAAATTATTTGAACCGATGTCACAGAAATATAGGAAACTTAAATTCCTTAATTTGCACAATATACTGTTTCACTGCTTCTGAAGAATTTGTTATAAATTACAGCTACAGGATTGAGATTGATATATCAAGCAAACGTGCAAATGAAAATGACAATGACAGTGACGAACGAGCGAGGAGCGGGAGCGACACTCAATAATAATACAATACGCCACTCGGCTCCAGCTGGACTCTGGACTCTGGAGCTCAGCTGACAGTGACAGAAGGTTTTTTTTTCTCTTTTTAAGCTGATGGCTTGATGATTATTACATGGCTTTTAAAAATCCATGCAACCTCAAGGTACACTAGATAGTAATATCAAGGAAGCAGCACTGGTTATTTTTTCCTTTTTTGTTTTGGTTTTAAGATATCTTTCCACGCTGTGCAAAATGCAAACAATAAACTACAGAGATATATATAAAAAAAACAGGCATCTTTTCATACGATTCTATAGGATATAGCATATGATCCCAGATAGACAAAATATATTGTCGACCTTATGGGAACCCCTAATCGTTCATATAACATAACAAAGGTTTCTATAGATACCGATGTCTCAGTGGCGTAAATAACACCCCCACAAACCCCACTGTAAAGGGGAGTGTGCCAAAGTCCAGGGACTATTGTCAACGCTCACCGACATCGCGGAAAAAGGTGACGTTTCCGTGACCAAGGGAGACCATGAGATGAGGTCTCCCTCCACACATCAAGGTGAGACCGCGGGATGCATTCAAGATTCAAGATACAGTCGTGATATCGAAAAACGATGACAATGTTTATTATGCCACGGGAGACCCTGGTAACAACTTGTAAAAGTAAAAGTATGTGTGTGTATTGATGGGGCTATTGCTTGATTTTTTGTTTTCACCATTTCTTTGTGTTAATGTTGTGTTTGTTTAGGGTGTTGTAAGCGTGTTTATCTGATCGTGAGATGAGGTATGATTTTTGGCTAAGATTATTGTGTCAAATATATACTGGGGAGTTATCGTTAGGAGCTTTTTTTGAAAAGGGGTTTACAGTGTTCTGGGTAGTGGAGTCTCAGGATTGATTGGATAGTGCTCTTTTGGATGATTAAGATCATTTTATTGTTTCTTGAGCTTGCTGAATGATCCCCAGGTGGTGATACCATATTTTATGTTAAGTATTTCGTTGGTGATATTTGTGTTATCTGCTGATTGGTCAGTGGGAAGTATGATTGTCAGTCATCTGTGAAGAGTAGGCTATGTATCTGAGTTGTTGTCTAACTTTTTCCGGGAAACTGTTTAGGTTGACTGTAAAAAATAGTGTACAGTGGACAGTGGTGGTATTGATCCTTGAGGCACGCCTCTGGTGGTTGTTCTATGCTCTTAGTAAAGATTATTTTGTGTTAAGCTAATGTTGATCTGTTGTTCCAATTCTACATATTGTTGTTTATTACTTTTTTAACAAATCAAGTAGCCTACTCACATTGATTTTGTAAAGTGTTGAAATTTGTGTAGCAAATTGTTCCAGTTGATTGTGTCAAATGCTTTTTGTACGTCCAGCAAAATGCCTGATGCACTTTCTTTTCCGCTTACACACTCTCTATGCTCACACTATTCACGGTATAGATTAATAAATATAAAGCGTTTTTTTTTTATTTGATGGTAGTGTATATGACGTAATACTATACTGCTGACTAAGCCAAATTTAAAGCCTACCAACAACTAGAAAAAATTGTAAAATCATCATCCGTGCATAAGAAATTTTCTAATGTGCCAGAGGGTGCCAGTTGAATATAATAAACATCCTCAACATGTATTACCAGATTCCATACCACTAGAATTTTTATTCTATTCAACTGTCACCCTGGCATAAAGAAGCTGTAAGGAATCAAGCTGGTTGAAAGAAATCAGTACAACATATAATTATCTTATGTCCGGTAGATGAATCCACCAGGAATAGGTGTTTCAAACTAATACAGGAAGATGATCCAGAAATGGAACAGCTTTGACTCTTTACCAGAAATTCTAGGAACTGACATAAAAATTATACCAAGAACTCAGACATCCACAATTTCATAAAGAGAAAAATGTAAACAAAAAATATGAAACCAAACACTTACACAAATTCTGTTAAATCCTTTGGTTTCTTCATCCATGGTTACTTCGAAGGTCGCGACCTGGAGTTAAAGGCGGCCGTGCCTCAAGCAAGAAGACCCCAACCGTAGATAAAACCATATATAACACATACTCCTCAAGGAGTATGTTTTAAAATATACTCCTCAAGCTCGTTCTTCTTTGAGGAGTATGTTGCCCCAACGCTCCATCCCCAACCCGTCTCACAACAATCCCATTAAGACCTTAGAATTCTACTACAGTAAATACTATCCTTTAACAAGGCACTTACAAAACACAACAAAACCAAAATGTAAAAACGCCACTAAACTGTAACAAAAACGTTAATAAAAAATTGATGAATAAATTACCATAATACCATAGATAAAACATACTCCCTTAGTAGATTTCTCATCCTTATGGAACAGTTGAAGACAATTTTATTGTTAGTTCCTGTACGGTTTATGTAGAGGTCGTGTTTTGTTTACACTTTGTTTCCCGTTATTACAGCCATTTAAACCCTCGTTTAACCAAATAATACGATCTAATCATAAACAATAACTTGTCCCCTAGTTATATAACCAAACAGTAAAGCACAATTCAAGAAATTAACCCTAAAATAATAGAAACAAAAATTTCGTTGACACTAGCACCCAGTGTAACGTACATGAACTAGACATGAAAAACGAGCTTCAAAATTTACAATGGGATGAGAAGTCTACTTGTGTTGGTTAGTCTATGATAATACCAATGAAAACAACGGAATCGTTAATATTAATAACGAGTGAACAACGAAGCTGCATACAAATTATTCAGACTGCTTTCAAGCAAATAAAATAAAAAAATCTTAACTCGTCATTCTCTCTTCTTCTTTTTATTCATTCTGTCTGTTGTCGTTGTCTCGTTGTCTGTTGTTCTTTTTCTGTCATCATTTGTCATTTGATAACTGATTTTTATCGTTATCGTCTGAGTTTGGTTGGACTTGATTAAAAGAAGCTCAGTAAGACACTGATTCATAAAAAATCACAATTTTATTCTTGGCTTCCTTTTAAATATTTCTGTTATAAGTGTACAGTACATTACATTACATACTGCAAGTGCTTCTGCTACTTTTAGGTTACTCTAAGGCTAACCATACTAAACCAAAGATCGTGTTCTTGTTTGATTATTTGTTAACAAAGAGAGTTCTAAGATACGGTAAGAAGTATGTCTAACTATTTAAGTAACAACAAATCAGCTTTGTTCTCAGTCGAAGACGAAGTTGATGATGATGAGTTTTTGCGACATCCACAATCTGGAAGATCTGGGTACATGATGGGTGATGTCCAAAATTCACAAACGAGTAACATTGATCAACTCCATCAGCAACGCTTGGAAAAGCAAAAGGAAATTCAAGCAAGAATTGTTGAGACATCACAGAGATCATTATCAACGCTTTTAGCCACAGAAGAAATTGGTGTATCAACTGCAGAGGTAAGCTAATTAAGTAGGCCGTAATATTTTGCCGTAAAAACTGCGGTTCAGAATCAGAATTTATTTTAAGCAAAAAATTCAGATAGGTAGTCTAACCATAGTCAAGACATAAGCAAGATACAGACCCGTTACGATAATATTACAAGATGCTAACTTAGCCTAAGTTTGTTTCATGTACACTTACAATGCAATCCCACTATTAGGGGAACGGAGTGAGGGCTGTTCTATTCTTTGCCGCGAGGGCCAAAATTGACTAAACCGTCAGGAAGGCCCGACTTCCGTGACTCCCCAGAGCGTAAGAGTAATTGAGGGGAGGGTTATTAGTGGGAGGATGTAACGGATACCAGGTACAGTTTCTTAACTGGGCTACAGGTCATTGATACCTGTACTCACACGGCACTCACACATTGGTCTAATTGGTCAGATCATTGTGTGTACAGCTGGTTCATATTACAGTTGAACCTCTATATTGACAAATTTCTTGGGGTTAGGAAATAATTTGTACTATTGAGGTATTTTTAATATAGAGTTTCGTTTTATCGAGGTTTAATACGGCTGTTATTCCTCTTATAGTGGTTTCTCCTCGCTCTAAGATAACCTCTATAAAACGAATCTATGGCCAACCTCTATAATACGAATCATTGTTACCTACAGTACTGCCATACCTACAGTAGTGTCATTGTTAGACCTACAGTACTGTATTAAAGTTATTTTTTCAATGTAGGATTAGGGAAGAAAAACATGGTTGTAGCAATTTAAAAAAATATTTGTTTATGTATAAATCGCATAAGTAAGTTATCAAAACAAGAACAATAAACTGTGGAAAACCATGTAGGCCTACTGTAGGCTATAATAAATTAAAAACAAAACTGAAGTCAAAATACAGTGGTACACTATAAATGAAAACCAAACTTTTTGGTACAATATTAGAAACTTATTACAAATGAATAATTCTACTGATAGTGCCGTTTTTTACTTTTCCCTGCCATTACTGTACACTTAAGACACCCACAACTCTAAAACAAGGGAAAAACCCAGCCGGAAGGTCACTGGACCGTTCACAGGCACGTGCCAATTAATGACTGAGGAAGGAGGAGGGATGGGTTGGGGTTTCATGTTGAGACTTAAGCTTCTGTTTGTTTTGAAAACTACGTACTATGGAGGTTAAGATTATAAGAAATTAGTCCTTTAGAGGTCACGTTTGTCTTGTAGAGGTTTTGTGCTAAGAATATTTGTTGTATAGATAGAGGTTAATCAGTCCTAGCCCATGTCACAAACAAATTTGTTTTATGGAGGTTTTTAACTTAATTACTACGTTGTATAAAGGTGTTTTTAGAATGGTCCTATGTGAAAGTTTCAAGGGGATACAAAAACATTTTCTTATCGAGGAATTTGTTTTACCGAGGTTAGACTGTATTGTGATTTTGTTTATGAGCCATTGGTAACCTATGTGTTTAATAGTGTCTCAAATGAACATGGTTTATAATTCTGTTTCATAGCCATTAGCCTACCTACTTAATTTCTTTTAATTTTCTTAGGAATTACTACGACAAAGGGAGCAATTACAGAGAACTGAAAAACATCTTGATGACATCAACAGTACACTTAGGTTCAGTCAAAAGCACATTCAGGGTATCAAGGTAAGTTTTAAATTTATACTTTTTTAGTAGGTATGTACTTTACTTCTAGTTGTGTGGGACTTCTAGGTTAGTATGATATTCTTTGAAAATGAAAAAAAAGTCCCTAAATGTTTTCATTGTTTGTTACCAAGTTCTGTAAAACTACTAATATTTTTTAAATTTGTGTGTGTTTTATCAATCCACTACCGGTACACATAAAGAAAATATTGTAAAGTGTTTGATTAAGAGTACTATTCAAAAGTGTAGACCAGATCTACTTCATTTACTTAAAGGGTTTTTGTTTTCAACAGATCATCTACAGTATCTTTATACAATTACAGATTGTGCAATTAGTGTATTTAGTGGTTACAAAAATTCTTAATTTACAGAGTGTTTTTGGAGGATTGAAGAATTATCTTAGTGGGAAAAATTCGAATGCACCACAAGGAAGCAGATCCATACCTGATTCACCTGTTTCAAATTCTGATTCAAAGCTGGTGGAAGCCGTAGAAAGTTCGAAGCCATACGCTTCGTCTTCATCCCAAAATCATCCTGGTGAGTACGATTTTGATGACCCACTAGTAAGTTTTTTTTTTAAGCAAGACCAATTTACTTTTACACATTTATTTAATTTGTAATGAAGTAGATTTAATTTTAAAACAATATTTTCCTCAAAGCAATATACCAATCGTGAGAGTGACATTGTCGCAGAAAGTGTAAAATAAGCTGCATTATACACCCGGAATAATGATCCCAAAAGCGTCTTCAAAGATTGTGCAATCAAAAATTCTTGATCTCGCCTTGATCATGGAAGACGAAGGCAACGTCTCCATGATGATCGCACATGATTACCATTTAGCTGCGACTACAGAAGACCATGATAAGCCTCCATAACCAAGGTGAATGTTTATGATTTTGCTGAGGCTGTAGAAGATGTTTACGATGTTGCGCGAATGCAGAAGACAAAGATGATGTCTATGTGGCCAGGGGAGATAGATGATATTTATTTCAGGGACGCTGATAATTTGCCACGAGCACATGCTATTGTTACGATTTCGACTCAACTGTATGGACGTTCGCCTTTACAAAAGACTTTCATGATAAATGACAAAATTTTACTGTCTTAAAAACATGTGCAGGATGGATGACATTGTAAGAGTAAACATAACAGTGATATTTGAAATAAATTTAAAGCTATTTAAAAGTACCCCCCCCCCCCTCCAAGGGTGCAGACTAAGCGAATTTCCATTTGCCTGGTTGTATTTTTACTGAAATATTTTGTTAAAATTTATTTTCTATTGAAATACAATTAGATGTTAATAGGCCTAGCTTAGTATGAAATAATCATACTTCTTAAATTTTATTTTTTCAAATTCCAAATATGAACAGCTGTGTACTTATTCTGTGTACTGGTACATTGTTAATGCTTGACCTTATGACCTTGTTGGTGAACAGCTCTGCGTGTGAGAGGCCTGACTGATGAGTCTAGTGAACGCTTCAGTGCAGCTGATCCGGAGAAGGCTCTGAACGAGAATTTGAACCATATGGTTGATTCCATCTCTAGATTAAAAGGTATGTTGGTTTTGGTTCTAAAATGGTCATCTCAATTCCCATGTGCGAGTGGTAACAAAAAATAAATAGCTAGTGGTGCACTTCCGATTTAAGTAGCTTATCATTAACAATGCATAATACATCCCTTATGTGGCTTAGATATGTTGATGTCGGTTCAAATATTGTGATTATTAGGTTAGGTTTTACAATATGGCGAGGATCACCTAATCTCGTTTTTAAATTGAAGTTAGTAGGACCTCGATATCTCGAAGCTGAAAGGGTAAAAATTTGACTTGTTAGTCAAAAAAACTAGTTATTTTAAAAAATTACATTAAAATAACAAAGAAAAAGTTACTTGTTTGTTTTATTACTGTATAAACTGCAAAACAAAAATTTGTGGGTTACACAGAACATTTACTTTTTATTACTTTTTAACATTTCATCAACTGCCTAAATTACTATTTTTCATTGTATGTAAACATTTTATATCCACATATAACCAACAGCGTGACCTCAACGTGCACAAAATTATCTCAATAACTAACACGCTAACATAATAGAACTTGCCAAACAAACAAAGTAGATGGATTTTCTCATCACAACAAGAATAAAAAACAGCTGACTTGCACAGTACGCCATAAAACTTCTAGTAATGAGGCAGATCATGAAAACCTTTATATAAGTAAAATTTGGAGTTATTGAGGCATGTGAATGACAAACTTTGAGTAACAGAAGTTAAGTATTAATGATCACACGTCAAAAATTTGACTTCTCAAGGTTTAACATTAAGATTTACCGGGATTCCAGGCGATAATGAAAAATGTGACATATCAAGAAATTTTAGATATCAAGGCTCTTGTTTTCGATGTCCTACTGTATCCTTTAAATCTTTTTACTTTAGCTCAGATACCGTTGTATGGAGCGGTAATGATTCTAGGGTATACACAGAGATAAGAGTAACATGATAGTAATAGCATTTCAATTATACTAAACTGTAATCAGCCTAGAGAATCCAGAATTGGTTTATTTTTCTATAAAGTAATTACATCATATCTGTAATAACATTTTTCAGAGTATTACAGATAAGTTATTTGATTACTCTTGAACAGGCCAGATTATACGTTCCCAGAGTTAGGAAATTGTAATTTTAAAACTACTCCTTTTTAAGTAGAGATTGTCAGATGGCAGTAAACGTAGATAACAACATTGTTTGTAATTTACACACAGTATTTGTGTCCACTTTAGAAAGTTAATATCAGAACATCCTCTATTTGATGAACAAAGTCCTTATGAGCTTATCTAATAAAATATTAGGCCGTCCATTACAATAGATTTGGAGTAACGGTACCATTTTATCTAACAGGCACACAAATCACTCAACCGCTTATCATAATTTTATAAAAAGAAATCCAATGTTAGTGAAACATAGTTCAACAATTATTATTTTAGCAAACAGGAAAACAAGCAAACAGGTCTGTTAGTTTTAGAAGCTTATGTGTTATTTGATTAATCCTCACATAATATTCATTCAAATAGGCCCTGGACTACGTATTCTGTTTATGACTTTTTAGGCTTACCTCAGGTCAGTAGTCCAAATTACGTCAACATTTCAATATTTCAGTGATTAGCAGCTGACATGTTTCATTACAATGCGACATCACAGTAGCCTACTTAGTGGTAAATTTTGATGTTTTGATGTGTTGCAAGCTCTGAAGATGTTGCATAGCAACAAAATATGTCAGCTGTAAATAAGTTTTAGCTAAAATTGGACTACCTGCTGACGGGTAAACCTAAAAAGTATAATTCTCACACCCTCTTTTCTTCTTTTGAACAAAATGGAAATGGATTCATTTTTTACTTCCTTATTTTGTTATTACTCTCCAACTTCCTTATTTTGTAGTACAGTAGAACATCTATTAACTGTCACCCTCGGGACCAGAGCGTGACGGTTAAGCAAATAGACGGATAACAGAAACCCTGTTATAAACCTGTACAGTAAGCTAATTTTAAAGGTTTTGAAGATATTAAACCCTGTACAAGTAAACAAAACCTATTTTTATATATAAGGAAATAGACAGGAAAGCAAGCTTACCTTTAAATAAGTCCATTGAGACACATACACAACACAAAAGTAGAAATGTTTGTGGCCACTGACCAATTTTTCAGCTACTAGGGAAATGGCAATCTCTAGAATTGCCATTTCTCTAGTGGTTGAAAAAGTGGCCAGTGACCATGAAAATTTCTACTTTTGTGTTGTTTATATGTCTCTCTATGCCCTATGGACTTATTTAAAGGTAAGCCTGCTTTCCTGTTAATTTCCTTAACAATTCCTGGCAAATGCCCTATCTTTTAATCAGATTATATTTAAATATTTAATTACTTACTTACAAAAGTAATATAGAACTGTTATTTTGTGTTTTGTACATGTTCAATGTTCGGACTGTGAAATAAAATCACATTTAAAAAGTAGTCTATTGTACTGTATCGGGGTTACGGATAACAAGAGAGCGACGGTTAATCAAGGTTATACTGTAAATACAAATAAAATACTATAGTTATTACTGTCCAGTGTCCACCTATCCTTCGATCTACTCTCTATGGTTAGCTCACCTGTGTTCTGATTTTTATTTTGTAATAAACTATAAATATTTATTTAGCTATGACTGATCAGGAAGATAACATATTTCTCAGCATTGCGTTGCTAAATGTAAGTTGAGAATTATTTTTAGTTGGAGACTGATCTTAAGTTACATTCAGTCGATCTTCTGTATTTCACTCGACGTTTTGAAGTCTGTAATTTGATATTGTTGCCGGTTGAAAAAGAACCTAATATATAACAAGGTCAGTACACAAACCTAGCCACAGCTGAAAACTTACTAATTCAAAACCACACTAGTAGTTAAAACAAGAAACAGTCTTAGCACTGTATTGGTTATTGTCTTTGTACTGTCTTGTTTCAAATATATAAGCTCAATGGTGAATTAACTTCTAGATTTTTGTTTTTAATTTGCATTTGTTTGTCATATTTTAAAGAAAATGTTTTTTCAGGTTTGGCCCATGGTCTCGGTGAGGAGATAGAGTCACAGAACGAACTGGTCGAGAACATAATAGACAAGACTGAGAAAGCTGATATAACTTTGAGACGACAAAACAAAGATATTGGAAGAATACTCAAAAAATAGTGTAAAAACTGATCTTCATTCCATCGATGTCTTCAGTATCACGAAGTTGTAATGGTACAAAGCCAAAGTGTTTCAAGTTAGTTAACAAAGAGTTAAATATTTTCTTATGAACAGGTAAATTATGTTATGTAAAGCATTTGCTTTTGTATTTTAAATATCCAAAATTTCAATTTTATGTTCTCCTGTGAGAACTCAAGAGAAAAATAATTTCTTGTGTTGAATTGTAAATCAGTGTAATGTGTATGTGATTAATCGATAGTGTTATTAAAACAGGACATAGTGTTTGTTGTATTGCAATTGAAAATGTATCTAAATTATGCATGACTGCTTAAAATTATGTAAGTAATCAATATAATGTTATTAAATGGTTCTTATTTGCATGTATCTTATATTACATTCTCATGATTTAAAACTCTATGGCTGTATCCTCATCTTAAAAATATTATAGGCCTACTAAAATGTTTACCCCTTATTGATGAGATTAAGATGAAAACACCGTTAGTTAGTAGGGAGTTTTTTTTTTAAACGCAACCTGATTTGTTTAAGATCTAAGTATCCAAATAAATGGATTAACAACAAATTTTATACAACCTATTATTTCAGTTTGATTACATTTAGCTTACGTTAAGTGTTCACTCAATCCGCCGTTGACATACAAACAAAGTTGTGCTCTTCTTTTTATCTATCATATTAAAAAAAGAATTTTGCCCGTTTCTCCTATGGATCAGGGGTTCTGAATTTGTTCAACAAGTCAATAAATAGTAGATTTATTGGGTAATGGAATACCACCTGTAAGCTTAATTGAAATCCCTTTCTGGCATAAAACAAATGACTTACATCTTAAATGTGTTCTCCTGCATTACACAGTACACACCCTTTCAGCTTTCGAAAACACAATTTTCTGTCTTATTCACAATAAATTCCCAATAACACTGATCCTTGTAGACGACAATGCATACAAGCTGATCAGTATTTAAACTGAGGTATGCCAATGTCACCTGTTTCACCAGCTCTGTCGGAATTGTGGGATGCTTGATTTCATTTTTAACAGGCCGGCCAACCTATGAGGTTGGGTGTAAAGGCATTGGTTATCCAAAGATGTCAACATCTAAATAGTTATAGTTTATGCAAACCGTCCATTAAATGCTGAACTACTTTTTCTTTACATGAAAATAGGATATCTTTCCCAGTATTTTGACTGAGCTTAAGTTGCAATCCCAGTATTCATTTAGTGTGTGAGCTTTGATATGAGTCTCTAGGCGAAGGGAACATTTAAAGCAGCTTTCAATACAAATACCTCCGCCGCAGCAAACCTGCAGACTAAGCGAATTTCCATTTACCAGGCTGGAATTTTACTAAAATATGTCTTGAAAATTGTCAGATTTATTTCCTATCTAAATAACATTATTTTAGTGAGTACTTTGCTGCTACAGGGAAGATATTGAGGTGTATTTTTTTATTGAATGTTGATAGCTTAGTATGAAACAAACAACATTTCCAAATTTGGCAACAGTTTATTTATTCTCCATAAGAATAACATGGGAATTTTAAATTTACATTTTTCAAATTAACTCCATAAACGGTTGGGCATACAACAATGCTTTGTACAAAATTGTTTCTTTTTTTAAGCTCTACAAAATAGTTTGGAGAGAAATTATGAAAATTCGTGTTTGTAGGGGAAAAAATAGGAAAAATCAATTTTTAACCATTTAACCCCTGTTCCCATAGTCCGATTATGCTGGTTAGCAAACTCATTCGAATAAACGTAAGTTTACACATTTGTACCAAATTTTATCAAAAAACAGATCATTTTTGCTCATGTTATCGCGCTAACAGACGTGTATATATATGTATATGAATTTGAACGGATGGTGTTTTTGGCATCTGGGGACCTCAAAACGAAAAAGTAAATCGGTCCTGGGCTTAGGTATTACCACGAGACCTACGGTAATAGTTTATTCGCTATATGAGAAATTCGCTAAAAAGCTTGATGATACATTGTTTTTTGTCCTAGGACACTAGGCACGAGCCTGGGATTGTTTTTCACATTACTTCAGGCTAGACCTAGGGGTTGCGGCATTATCACTTGGATAAAATTCATTGGTGACTAGGCGGGGATCGAACCCGGGACCTCAGGGTTAAAGTCCCACGCTCAAACCACTACGCCAGCTCACTCCCCACATAGACTTAAGTTAGATGTTAATGATTAATGTGTGATTTGTGTTCCATAAACTACAACCATCGAAGTGGTTTATATTGAGCTCATTATTTAAGCTTATGGTATTGATAATTACTGAAATAATTTTTATTTTTGTTAAAAAAATGTATACTTTTTTTTGATTTTGGTGAAAACCGTCAATTCAGCTTGCAATTGATAGTTAAGGAGATCACTTCTTTGTCATTGAAAGTAAACATTCCTATGAAGTGCCATAGTAGTTGAACTTTCCCAATGTCTGTCCTGTTGTAATTTAGCACATTCCAGAATGGACCACCTAAATCACTTGCCAAACTTAATTGAATGAATTACTTGATCAAATGTATCTTTATTTACGGATGGCACATTTCCCCTTGATATTTCTGCAAAAGTAAAAAAAAAATTTAATAAAATTGAGTTACGCGATTTATAGGCCTACTTACGAGACATAATTATATAGAATGGTTCTCGTTATTTGAGAGGAAGTTTGGATTTTTAACTATAATATGTGTATTATTGTATTATTTTGAAATGTTTGTTTTATTAAAAATATATTTTTGTTTCACTTAATAACTTGATTTTTTTCTTCTCCCACCCGTTGTAGTAGTGATACTTATTTTGATAGATACAAAAGTTAATAATCTGTAGTATGATTATCTGGAAAATTCTATTGAAACATATTCTATTGCTAAGTCGGATTAGTTATATTACATGATCATATATGATGCCTACCTGTTGTAAAAATACATTACACTACTCAAAAGTGTATCAGACATTGTCTTCAGTCGCTTATGATAATTAGGTTATGGATTTACTATTATGAAGTCCGAAGAAATTTAGATGGTTTCAAGCCATGTTAAAACTAAATTGCTGAATCCACCTTTGAAAAATGTAATTAAGTCTATACAAACTACTTACAGTAGAGGTTCACTATTCCAAAAACCTGCCCATTCCGAACTGAAGTTTGTAAACTATTATTATTATTTTTTAAAGACTGTTATGAAGGTAACATAAAATCGAGTATGTTATCTGCAGTCACGGCTGAATTGTAAACTTTTTCCGCAGTCACAGAAACCACATTTGTGTCAAAACCATCAACATTACCTACAATCGTGGCGAAACATTCAATCGTATCCTTGTAGACACTATCTGTGATCGCAAAAACAAAAGCCTGGTGCTATCACGGCAAAATCGTAAAATTATTTCGATATTACTGCACAATATAGTGAACACAGTAAAATCATGAACATCTTCGCATCAGCAGGTATATCATCGTCTCCCACGTTTGCAGAAAAAATTGTCAACATCAACTTGTGAACATGACCAGTTATTACAGAATTCTGCTTATTCCGAATAGGGTTTGGAATAAGTCCAGTTAGTTTCAAATATAGAGACTCTACTGTACTATAGAGAGAGATAGAGATATTAGTTTTTTCCTGTCAACTGTTTAGGTATCAACATCAACCTTACAGAAACAATTGGATACGGTTTAATTATTAATCAATCTATACCCAAGTAGTAAAGTACAGTGATAAGTGACTGAAGGATATTTATAATTTTGTCTATGGCAAATTGAAATTTAGTAACTTGGCAAAATTCCATGAATATTTATGCCAATGCCACCAGAACAATTTTTTAGCAATATTTATTTTTGTGCTATAACTTTTTTTTAGGGATTTTTGTATCAAAACCAGAGGGAAAATAAAAACTTCTCTTACCCATTGCTAAAAATGCAACCTCGAAGTGTTATTGCAAAATATTCTCTAGCTATGCATACAGTCCTAGAAAATAATAGTAATTTCAAATGAGCGAGGTAAATGTTATCAAGTAACAAAATAAGGTCAAGTAAACCCCTTATATTGTGTAAATGCTATTTAACCAAGATAAAAAATTAACTGACACTTAAAATTAAAATAAAAAAAATTAAAGTATACTTTTTGGAGGAATAAGAAGATGAAAATCACAGACATTATAGATGTAATAAATCTGTCTGTGGGTATGATTCGGTTTTCTATAAGTTGAATAATCATCTTTCTTCTTCTGTCATTTTGATATCTGATTTATCGTCTGGATCTGGATTATAAGAGACAAAGACACCGATTCATTAAAAACCACAATTTCGTCCTTGTGTACACTTGACTGAGAGTTCCATTGATATCATTATTCATTCTTTAAGTGGTTCAGCTATCATTTGGTCCAGTTTTGGGTTAAATGTTTCAACACTAACCATACTAAACCAAAGATTGTGTTCTTGCTTGGTTATTCTTTAACCAAGAGAGTTCTAATACACGGTAAGAAGTATGTCTAATTATTTAAGTAACGATGAATCAGACTTATTCTCAGTCGAAGAAGTTGATGATGAGGTTTTGCGGCATCCACAATCTGGAAGATCTGGGTACGTAATGGGTGATGTCCAACATTCACACACAAGTGACACTGAACAACTCCATCAGCGAAAAGCAAAGGAAATTCAAGCAAGAATCGTTGAGACATCACAGAGATCACTAAAAACACTTTTAGCCACAGAAGAAATTGGTGTATCAACTGCAGAGGTAAGTAGACCCAACGTTTTGCCGTTGAAACGACAGTTCAGAATCATAATTTTTATTTACTGCCAAAAATATAGACATGTACAGGTCATGTCACTGATACTAAACATAATTATTAAGACGGACCAGTAAGTAAGATACAGACAGGTTAAAAATAAATAGACATATTAACCTTTCAGTAGGATGCAAGTTTGTTTTATGCACAGTACAATCTCACAATAGTCCTCTGTAGATATAGAGTGGTTGGTAATTATCCAATTTTTCCAGCAATTGACTTGTCGGCCATGAAAAATTTCATAAACCTAATTTTTGAAGAGTTGTGTAGCCTCTACGTTTCGTTCTGTATATTCAAAATTGATTACGATACCTGTCTATAGATATTTATTTATTCCAACAGTAACCACCATATTAAAAAAATTGCATAATGATATTTTTGGTTGCTGTAGTCTTAATCTACCATATCATCGGTCTAATTGGTCAGATTATTGTGTGTACAGCTGGTTTATATAATTGGATTTTGTTTATGAACCATTGGTAATCTAAATGTGTTAAAAAGTGACTCAAATGAACATGGTTTATTATTCTGTTTCAAAACTATAACCTAATAGAAATATTTAATATTCTTTAGGAATTGCTACGACAAAGGGAGCAACTACAGAGAACTGAAAAACATCTGGATGATATCAACAGCTCACTTAGCTTCAGTCGAAAGCACATTCAGGGTATCAAGGTAAGTTTTTTTGTAATTTTTTCTCGTATGTACTTACCTTTAAGTTGTGTGGCCTTCTAGGTTATGATATTCTTTGAAAATGAAAAAAAGTCCTTAAATGTTTTCTTTGTTTGTTACCAAGTTCTGTAAAACCTGTAATATTTTTTTATATTTGGGTGTGTTTTATCCATCCACTACAAAGGTGCTTATTTTAAAATTGAATACTACTCAAAAGTGTTGACCAGATCTACCTGTTAATCATTTTCGTACAGAGGGTTTTTCAACAGAACATTTATCAATATAAAATTACAGGTTATGGAATTCTTTATCATCATTAATTCTTAATTTACAGAGTGTTTTTGGATCATTGAAGAATTATCTTAGTGGGACAAAATCAAGTGAACCACAAGGAAGCAGATACAAGCCTGATTCACCTGTTTCAAATTCTGGTTCAATGCTTGTGGTAGCCGCAGAAATGTCGAAGCCATGTACTTCCTCTCAATCCCAAAATCATCTTGGTGAGTACCTACGATTTTGATAACCCACTAATACAAATTTTTAATGCAAGAATGATTTACTTTAAAACATCTCTCTTTGAAGTTTATAATTTAAAAAATATATTTTCCTCAAGTTAGATATATCAATCTGGATTGTTCAACAGAATGATCAGAAAAGGGTAAAAAAGCTGCAGCTTACAACTGGAACAATAATTCAGAACCGTCTACAAATATTGCACAATCGCAAATTCACAATCTTGCCATGACCACAGTAGACGCCTCCGTAACCACAGTGAATGTTGACGATTTTGCTGAGGCTGCAAAAGATGTTTACGATGTTGCCACGAACGCAAGAGACAAAGATGATGTCCAATAAAAAAAAGTCAAAAGTGTGTTTAATTATTCATGGCTAGGAGAGATAGAAGGAGATAGATGTTATTTATTTCAGGGGATGCTGATAACTTTGCCACGGTCACAGGCTATTGTTACGGTTTCAACTCAACAGCAAGAGATTATCACAATTTTGTCTCCGCTACAGTAGACTTTCATGAGAATTGTAAAAGGTTTATTAACTTAAAACACTTACAATGGTGTGCATGCCATTGTCAGAGTAAACATATCAGTAGAAGAATTTATATAAATTTAACTTAAAGTAAAAAAAAAAAAAAAAAAAAAACACTGCTGCAGCAAACCTGGAGACTAAGCGAAATTTAATTTGCCTGATTGGATTTATTACTAAAATATTTCCATAAACAAGACATATTTATTTCCCATTAAAAAAACATTAGATTTAACGAGTACCTAGGTTTGCTGCTTGACACATTGATAAATGTAACCTTGTTGGTGAACAGCTCTGGACCTGACTGATGAGTCGAGTGAACGCTTCAGTGCAGCTGATCCGGAGAAGGCTCTGAACAAGAATTTGGACCATATGGTTGATTCCATCTCTAGATTAAAACGTATGTTGGTTTTGTTTCTAGAATGATCATATCTCTATTCCCATGTGATAGTGATTAAAAAATAAAAATTAAGGTCAAGTATCGCAAAACGTCAAAATTTGAACTATTTAGGTTAAATATTTGAAAACCTTATTGTTACTAGTGTTACTAGTTTAGTGGTAGGCATCTTGAACTGATGTAGCTATTGCATTGCTCGATTTGTAAAAAATGAGGTACTGGAACTGTAACCTATTTAATGGGATTTGTACACATTTACACAATTTTTTTCATCTTTCCAAAAGAAAGGTGGCGAAACTATGTTCCACCGCGTCCCCCCCTCCTCACAAATTGAGCACTGAGCTTTTGACACAAAACTATCTTTAATATGATTGGATAAAGATCAGGAGATCCCTTAAAACTATCGGTATCCCTCAACGTCAACACTATACTCTTAAATACTCATAATGCTTAATGCTGATCAAGCAATTTGTTATGTATTTGAATTTGTTTATCATATTTTAAAGAAAATGTTTTTTCAGGTTTGGTGAAGAAATAGAATCACAGAACGATCTGGTCGAGAACATAATAGACAAGACTGAGAAAGCTGGTATAACTTTGAGAGGACAGAACAAAGATATTGGAAGAATACTCAAACGATAGTGTAAAAACTGGTCTTCATTCCATCGATGTATTTTAGTATCACAACGTTGTAATGGTACAAAGCCAAATTGTTTCAAGTTAGTTAAAAAAGAGTTAAACATTTTCTTATGAACAGGTAAATCATGTTATGTGAAGTATTTGTTTTTGTATTTTAAATATCCAAAATTTCAATTTGATGTTTTCCTGTGGGAACGCAAGAGAAAAACAATTTCTTTTCTTGAATAGTAAGTCGGTGTAAAGGCCTGTTTTGCCAGAAGCTGCTATCGCGTCTAACGCTTAGCGATAATCGCTTAGTTTCTATTCTATTGCTTGATGCTATTTTGCCAGAAGCGTCTGTTTCTTGCGATTATTTGATCAGTGAGTGGTTTTCTTTGGTGGCAAAAAGAGTGCTCTATGTGAAATGAGATGTAAAAAGCATATAGAGAAGTATTTGTTAGCTGAGGAATTTGACAATGAAGAGATTTTAGAAATGTGCGAACCCAGGGAAGAAGTAGGTCCTATGATTTTACAGATACAAGAAAAGGAACCTCTGTTCTAGAAAAGCGGGGTCATCTTCTTCGCTATTAAATCCCCACTTTGTTGCTAAACTTTCAAACTGGGTTAAAAACATAACTTAAATAGACGCTAGCGACTGCGTCTCTGTCTGCTCTGGGAGCAGTGATCCGCGATAGACGCTAGTGGCTCAGTTACACACGCTGGCGGCTGTAGCGATAGACGCTTCTGCCAAAATAGACTTACCTGAAACAATACAAAGCAGTGGCCAGCAATTGACACGGAGCGATCATCGCTGAGCGTTTGATGCACCAGACCCTTCTGGCAAAACAGGCCTTAATATGTATGTGATTGATTATACGTTATGAAAACAGGACGTAGTGTTTGTTGTATTGTGAATGAAAATGTATCAAAATTATGAATGACCGTTTATAGTTATGTAAGTAGGTAATCAATATAATGGTTTTCCTTTGCATCATATTTCCTTCTTATATTACTAGATTTAAAACTCCATAGCTGTATCCTCATCATAAAACTATTATTAGGTATTTTATGTGTTGTTCACAAAAACCAAGGTACACTAAAATATTATATTGAAAATCCGTACCCCTATTGATTGCAGGGATCGCTCAATCAATGAAGCAAGTTTGCTACAGCATAGAGTAGTCAAAATTAGTGAATTTGTTCCCTCTTTACTGGAATATCTCCAAAACTAAACCAAGTTAAGTCTATCAATTTATTATTAATCAACAATTTGAATCTCCAATACAATACAGAGTCCAAAACAAGACGCAAACAGTGATATCCTGTGTTTTTCACCGATCCAATTAGTCTTTTCATGTTGATTTTTGCCTAAACTATCCAAATCGTGTAAGTTAATTACGAGATCAGGTCAGAGACACATCTAAGTCACAGACAGGTCTAAGTCATCAGTATTTCACCAGCTCTGATGGAATTGTGAGATGTTCTGAGACGATAAAGTAGGTTCTATTTAGTTTCAAAATAGCGGCAAACCTATGAGCTTGTGTTTTAATTTGGGTTGTGTTTGGAAAAAGAAATACCCTGCATATAGGCTTACAAAACACAATTTATTTTTGGAAAAGACATTGGTATCCAAAGTTGTCATGATATCTAAATAGTTTATGCAAACAATCCATTAAATGATGAACTTACATAAAATAAAGATGGGGTTCCTTCCCAGTATTTTGACGGAGCTTAGGATTGTCAAACAATTCCAGTATTTATTAAGTGTATGAGGCTCTACGCGAAGGGAAAATTTCAAAGCAAATAGTTAAATGCCTATGCTTTGTTTCTCATTTGAAATCCAAATACCACAGTAAAAGCTAACCTTTTTATGAAGGATATACATGTACATATATCCTTGAAATTAGCAGTAAAGATTCACTGGAATATTTATGTTTTGATTTTTAACCATAATATGTCTATTATTGTATTATCTTGAAATGTTTATTTTATAAAAAATATATGTTTTGTTTAAATTATTAACTGGATTTTTTATTTTCCCATCCGTCGCAGTAGTGATACTTATTTTTGTAGATACACAAGATATGATAATATTCAAGTATGATAATCTGGAAAAATGCATACTCTATTGCTTAGTTTGATTAGATATATAATCATAAATATGATGCCTATCTGTTGTAAAGACATGCACTACTCGAGAGTGTACGAGTCATAATTCATATTGTCTTCAGTCAATTATGATTACAGTAGCAAACCACTTACAAGTGAGTTTCGCTATTCCAGAAATCTGGCCATTCCAAACTAAAGTTCGGAAACTATTATTATTATTATTTTTTAAAGACCTTGTTACAAAAACATAACTAACATGAAATCAAGTATTCTGTATAGTCCTCGCCACCCTAACCTGAGGCAGCCCAAGGCCGCACTAGATATACGGTGTACGGCCTTGGGCTGCCTTAAGTTAGAGTGGCGAGGACTATATTCACGGCTGAACTGTGAACGTCTTCCGCAGTTGCAGAGACATTGTCATGGTCTCCGGCGATTGTGTCAAAACCGAGAACATAACCCGCGATCGTGGCAATGCTTGAAATCGTATCTTTGCTGACACTTTCTACAATGGCAAAAATAAAATCGGCATTGTCATGGAAAAATCGTAAAAATATCCCAATATTACGGCAAAATTGTGAATATCTTCCGCGACAGAAGGGACATGAAAAAAAACTGTGAACATCTACAGCATGAACATGATGAATTAATACAGTAATCCGCTTATTCCGAGTAGCGTTTGGAATAATGCAGAGTTATTTTTTAATAACGGGACTCTTGTAGAAGGATTTGTTGTGACCTGATATGGTAATGACCTTACAGATAAAATATATTACGGTTGAATTAATCCATCTATACCCAAGTAGTAAAATATGGTAATTAGTGACCGAAGGAAATCATTTAGAACCGGTATGTCCTAGTATGGCTTAATGCAATTCAGGAACCTGGAAAAGTTACAGAAATATTTATGCCAATGTCTCCAGAACAATTTTATCACCATTTATTTTTATACTACAACTGCTCACTCATATCATTTCTGCTTAGACCGACAGACAAATACAAGGTTAAAGGATGCATCAAGCTCTAACATCCGCTGACACCTTGTATCGTGCTATTCTAGTTATTGGTGAGTTCAAATGGATTGGAGTTGTGAAGCTACTAGGAGTTGTTCGTCCTAGATTTTTAGGGATTATTTTATCCAAAACTGTGCACATAGCAGCAAGTAGTATGGGTGTTGCACCAACCAAAACAATCCCCTCATCTCCTAGGACACTAGCCTGGAACTGTTCTGCACATTACATCACAATATTTTGGTACTAAAGAATACTAGAGAAAGGAATTGAATTTTGTGAAAGCAAAAAAACATTGTATCATTTTCATGGACGTTTTAAGGCAACCCTATGAAAAATCAACACCAAAAACTTCTTCATTCAAGAGATCATCTTTATTATGAAAACACAATTACATAGTTATAACATCAATAATGAAACATATAGTTTTTGTAACACTAAGTTGAACCAACAAAGTACATCACATATATATCTATCAAATGTAACAATAACTACAGATAACAATACAGTGCTTCAAAAATTGTCTCATATTCATAGGAAATTTATAAGATTGAATTTTCCAATTAAGTTTTTGAAATTTAAGGAATTGACCAGACAAAATTTAAGTCTGGGAGCATTTTTAAACTTTCAAACATAAAGTAGAGCTATTGGTTGTTAATTCCGTAAAAAAATTGACATTGCAATCATTTAATTTTGTTTAAGGAACAGATACCGTTACCCAGATTTTTAAGTATGCCTTTTTTATAAACCCTTTAGAATGTGGAGTTGTTCCAAAGGGGGGGGGGGGGGGTATATTTGAAACAATTAAAACTGATCTGATAGGATGTCAGTCCTAGGTGTGCTAGGCTTTGGATTACTGAGCAAATACTTATGGAAGGTTTAATGACGGAATAATTAGTTTGCTTGTATAAAGTTATAACTTTATTCAATTTTGAAATGGCTGCCGGTTTTTACTGAGTAATGATACAGATCATAGTTTTTAAGATATTATGTTAAGACCATTAAACGGAGGTGTCATTTATGTGGGGTTACATTTAATAATTTGACTTTTCCCCCTGAAACACTCTATTTTGAGGCAATAGACTAAGCTAGTATTTTACTCTAACAGTCCTTATGTACTAAGTTTCTTTAGCTAAATGTTGCCTGTTCAACAATTAAAAAATGGGCCCCCAAACGTATTAATCCTGTGTGAATTTGAAAAACAAAAACATTTTGTACACCTCTGTACAAAGTGTATAGTACTACATAGTACTGTTAATGTGTTAACTACAACATGAAATATTTTAATTTATCCTTCATTTAAATTACCTTGATTTTGAAGATGTGTATGTATTTTGAAATTGGTAATTCATATTGCATCAACATGTAGCAGTTTTTAGAATGGATAACATTTCATATTAACTTCATTTAATGATTTAATATTTTTGGCACATTCTGTATTATTTAAGTAGCACTGTCATTACATCATACTAACAACTTATATTATCTGACTAGAAAATAATTGTTCTTTCAAGTACCGTAAAGGTTTTGTTAATTAATAAAACATGCATAATATGATAAGGATAAACGTTTACAAAATATACACTAATCATCTACCTTTTGGGTTAACATTGTGCGAGTGGAGTGAAAACATTTAGTGAGTTCAAGAATAAATTTATATATTTGTATATATATATAAAGAAAATGATCAAATCCAAGGCTTAAAACTAATAAAAAGTGTCTTATCACAATTTAAACACACTAATCTACTTTAATGTATGAAGAATGAGTCAATTATTTGTGCTAATTTTGTACAATAATTATTTGACACAAAGGTAAAAGTGGGATAAAAAATTTGTTTGGCTGATAACCATTAATGTAGTCAGTCTTTTAACAGTCTATGCTCACATGCTATTAGTTTTATTTGTAGCTTTTAAAGTCAAATGTTAAAAATTATTGAGCTGTTTTTTATACCTTCTATTAGGCTAAAGGTAACCTAAATTAGTGGTATGATCATAAATTAAATATTTGCATATGTTTTATAGATGTTTTATGGAAGAAACATTTTTTGAATCTTGTCTTATCTAAGATTTACATTTTTGAGTTATCTAGTCTAGTAAAAAAACATATTAATCCATTACCTTAACAATTTTAATACTTTTTCTGAAATCAATTATCTACAAACTGAGTACAAAGCTAAGATTTAAGGTCAATGATTTGAATTGAATTATTTTTTTTCAGGGAAAAATTATGTACAGTCAATGATCTGTTGGAAAATACTAAGCTTATAATCTTTTAAACATTCCCGATTATCTTTTTAACAGGATCAAGTTTGTTACATATAACCAGAACAGTACTTATATTGGATATCTGATAATTTAAAATTATTGCATATATCAGTTAATCAGCTGTAGGCTGTTGTTTCGTAGTTAGGTTGATGTGGAGGGGATCTAATTGCTTCTCCCCTAAATTTTGTGAACAGAGTATAATTTATGAACGGGAAAAAATGTTAATATTTCTCAAATTAGTTAAAAATAATACAATGTTGTTCGTGATAGTTCGTTTTACGAGTAAAACCTACTAAATCTTTTTAGGACAGTTGAATTTCTGAATTGAAATAATAAAGAATTAATTAAATACTCTCTTAAACATTACAAAGGTAAAATTAAATTCATTAACTGTATTTTCTTAATATTCTTTCATATACAAAAGGTAAACAAATTTTCATTAAAAATAAAACTGTTGTCTAGAACATGATTAATCAAAGAATATTCTGTTTGCATTCAAAAACTTAGAAAGTGAACTACTTTTTTTGCCATGGATACTTATAGTTTAAAATTGACAAAAATAACTTATGCAATCAGTCACTTTAAGGCTGCGCTCTACCCGTCTGGCGCACGCGAATGCAAGGGGTTTAGTTCTTACTAATTATAACCCCAATTGTGAACCGGTTAAAAAGATCTTGGTGTCATATATTTCATTAAATAATATAGTAGTTTTGCCGGTTTTTAAAATTTTGATACGGTAACTCAAAAATGTTGGGCTCAAAGGTTGGTAAAAATGTTAAAATACGTGTTTTTTATCATAAGTTTAAATGCATACAAATATTTTTTAGAGAAAAAAGTAAAACGGGAACAGTGCAATAGGTTCTTAAAAACAAGAACCTGCATTTAGTTTTCTAAAAAGTTTAAGAATAACTATGTAATCACGCAGACTCGAAAGGCTTGCAAGCGCTCTTCATGGCGCTATTCAATGCAATGGTATAGGGACATCGGCGTTCGGCAACTTCGTATTGAGAAATCCGAGCTGAGGTAGAGCGCACCCTTAAGTGGAATCATTGTAAAGTGACTAATTTTGGAGTGCTTTTAATCATATTTGAGACATCAAATCTATTGAACAATCACACACACATTAAACTGGTTGAACCAGTACACACATTGATAATGTACATTATTGGATAAAACCTAATTCAGTCTATGATAGTAAGCGTACAGAACAAAATACCTTCTGTTTCTCGAAAGTATTTTTGCTTATAACTATTTAAAAGACAGATTTTTCCCCAACATTTATTATAAGTTGGTTGCTTCTGTAATGCCATTGAGTGTTTGTTGTTTTACTATGAACCTTTTCAAATATAGTTAAAATTCAAGAGTGGATTTTACAGGATATTTTAAACAGTTGAAAAGGTTCGCTAAAGTAGATGCTGGATTCGGCACGTTCAGAACTTTGGCAGTGCCGGATTATTGAAAATACAGTAGACTCTTGATAATTCGAAATTGGTGGGCCAAGCATATCAATTTGAATTATCAAGAGTTTTGAATTATCAAGAGTTTGATTTATCGGGAGAAAAATAAACCATTCGAATTACAGAGAGTTTTTTTGTTTAACACATACAAAGGTACAGCACGTTACAATAAAACATCATACCGTATTTTAGTACACTTTTAAACAATCAACGGCTTATTTTTCAGTTACTGTAGTTGCAAAGAAATCTGTTATTTAGCGCTATTTCGCCAATAGCTGAACTATCAGCTGTCGACAACTACGTTTGTGCTCAAGGAGATGTCGCACAATCTAGAGATCGGATTGCCAACTTAGAAAAACAAGTCAGCGAACTAACTCAGACTACTGCTCTAACTAAAAAACATCAAAACGTCCAACACTAGCCTACCATGGGAACAGGATGTACTGTACTGTATAGTTTCCTGTTATAACAGGAAGAGATCACTTCGAACTATAGAGTGTTTTGCCGACTAAACTTCGAATTACTGCGTGACTTTGATTTATAGAGTGTTTTTTCGACGAAACTTTGAATTACAGCATGACTTTGAATTAAAGAGTATTAACCGACGAAACTTCGAATTACTGAGTTACTTTGAATTATAGAGTGTTATTTCGACGAAACTTCGAATTACTGCGTGTTACAAATTGACCTGCCCTCTATTTGGACTTTGAAATACCGAGTGTATCAAAATGCATGGTAAACATTTGAAATATTGAGAGATTCTCTAGGGACTGAGCCTTCATTTTGAATTATCGAAAGTTTTGAATTATCAAGTGTTTGAACTACCAAGAGTGGACTGTATTATATTAGCCAATTGAACTTCTTGTAATAACAACTAATTTTAGAGTATCAAAAGAAAATCGTTGGCTGTCAGGTCATTATTTTGAGTTTTATTGTACTTTCTTCTATTTTAGTAGTGATATAAAACGCCAACAATAAATAGACATAAACATCCTCCAATTCAATTGAGTGCAACTGATGTCTGCCAATCGCTCCTGGCAATATATATTACACCCCTCTGTTGACTGAGCTAACATGACTTAAATTAGCACTCAAAAAGATTTTTTACTTTGAAATTGATGCCGGATTAGATGGCTTTTACTATAGGCCTACTTGCAGCATTTACAAATACAATTCTTTTCCCTGTGATCTTCAAGGCTCTCCAAATGAGAATGTATAAAAATGGCTTTATATTTAACAATCATTCAACTTACACGCCATGTTTACATTTTTGTTAAAATAGTTTTCATACGTTTACAGACAAATCTCACAATACGGTACTGTATTATGCAAATAAAAATATATTTGTCCAATCTTCTCACAGCACTCAATACAAATAAGTTCCTCTTGTAAACTGAAATACTTTGGTTTGGTCAACAGACTTTGAGAAGAAAAGTTTGTTCTTTATTAAATTACTACAACTACCACAAACTGGTACCACCTGACATTATCTGTTTTGATATTGTTGCTATCTATTTTAACACCAACAAAAAATTGAGCATATTAAAACCTACTCGACGCATATAAATGTATTTGACAAAACTCTTTCAAAAACAGGTTTAACTTTTGTCCAGAATAGAGAGAAATATATTTTGTAATTGACATTTTAACATAAATTGCAATTTAGGTCTGGATCAACCAATAACTGAGTGAGTTTAGGTAAACTTCTAAATGATCGCCAAACCATTGGCTATTAGTGCAATAAGGTTGACATGCCATGGAACTATTAAACAAGTATAAACAATACAAATCGGACATTTCGGGTTCAATACTGTATGGTATGAGGCTGTATATAAGCCTTTTAATTGAGCTTATTACTTATTCCTAATTAAATATTGTGAGGTTTTTAAGTAGAAACAGATAAAATAATAACAACATTAAGGTACATGTTTTAGAATATTGACTGGGAAAAATTGTGCAAATCTACTGGTACCCTATTAGCTTCATCCGCAAGGCGCGACAACGGGTCTGAACCTGCATAGTGCTGTCTCTCAACGAATCCTGGACCTGCTTCTGAAGTTCTTGTACTTCAGATATCTCTTTACGCAGATTTTCATAATGTTGCTTAACTTGTGTTACCGTCTCTAAGAGATGCATGACAGATTCCTGGAAAAATAAAAGCAATGTAAAAGGGAATATTTTTGACTCATTGATTTTGTAAAACCCTTGATGTCATACATTAATGTTCAAGAAAGTTTAAAGATCCAAAATTTAACTTTAAATAGGTACCTACCCATGTAATTTGAAACTGATTTAATATGATAGTTCTAGGAATTGGGAGATAAATTAGTAGTAGTATAAACGTTTTTTAACTGAATCACATTTCAAAACAACAAATATATTAGCACTCTGCCAGAATCGTTAACAACCCACAGTTTAAAACATGGTACCGGAAGCCTATTGAACTATGAGAACGCAAAAGTATTTTTCTGATGAGTTAAAACTTAATTTTTTAATCCTTCGCAGATAATCAAAAGACAGCACATGATGAAATTTATGCGGTATTAAGCATGTTAATAGTAATCGTCAATTTATTATCACGTTTAAAATAGTATAAACATGTTAGAAACTTTTTGCAATCCTTAAACTGACAATAAAATCTGGGACATTCAACACTCCTAAAAAGGTAGCTCATTTGTGGAATAGTAGACAGGCAATGAGATCCAAAATATCCTTTTGCTCTGGAAGCCTTCGCGAAAGAACAGAATATATGTTGATGACATCTTTCACAAAGTAATTTTCAAACTAGGGAAAGAAGAATTACTAGCCTATATAATTTTCTTGAAAAATACACAATGCAACATATTGTAGACAAAGATATGCTAGGCCATTAGACCAACATTACTTGAGGAGGCTTATCAAATGTCAAATAAATATGCACGAGTAGGCCTACATCTTCCAGTGACTAAGCCAAATCAATAAGAATAAGACTGTAACTGTAACCTACCTTATTCTCATCACATTCTATGTCTGTTACTTCCTTTTCACACTCATCCAGTTTCCAAACAATCTTATCAAGGTGGCTGTCAGTCCTTTTCACCTATATAAAATAAGAGATTTAAATACTTCTCAGCAATGTATGTATAGTTTACTGATAGTTTACTGATGACAAAATGCGTTCAGAAAAACAAATTTGGAAAATTTGTTTAAGCATATTATGGTAGGCAAAAATTACTTATATAGAAAAATGACCTTTTATACAAAAGCTCTCCATAAATTAAGGTCTCTATCAATCTCCTGTTGTGATCAAGCAAGCTAGCTCGGATCTTAAACTGCCGCAAAGTTCTTTATTTTATCAACTAATATTCTAGTCAATTTCCACTACTGGTATATGATTCCCTATTGGACAATTTGCTACGCCATATTAGCTCAAACCAACATTAAGGAAAATATGTGCTCCCGTCAAGTATGAATTGCGATCTCTGAGACTATTAAGGACATGACCTGAGTCTGACCTTTTCCAAACTCTTTAAAAAAGGCTCGGACTGTGCCCATCTTCAAGAAAGGGAACCCTGCACTCATGGAAAATTTCCGCCCCATCTCTATCCTCCCTATCTTTTCTAAGGTGATGGAGACGATGATGAAGAAGCAGCTCCTCTCATATTTTGAAAAGAATAGCCTACTGGTGGACTCACAACACGGTTTTCGTAGCGGTCGATCTACCACCTCCGCACTCCTAAGCCTGGTCGACACCATATCCCAGGCCTTTGAGGAGAATGAATCGGTCCACCTAAGCCTTTGTGACCTCAGCAAGGCTTTCGACGTTGTGTCACATGACATCCTTCTGGCCAAGCTGAGAAAATACGGAATTGGCGGTGCAGTTTTCAGCTCTCTTGCGGACTACCTTGGCAACCGCAAACAAATAGTGACCATCATGGGAGCTTCATCTACTATGGGCTCTCTTCCCCATGGAGTTCCGCAGGGATCGGTTCTGGGCCCTCTCCTTTTCACAATCATGATCAATGACCTTGCTACAACCAGCCATGCCCTCCTGTTTGCAGATGATACCACCTTGGTCACAAAGGGGAAGAACATCGACCCGTTGCTGGAGGAGGCAAACAACGCCCTGAGGCTGGCAAAGGACTGGTTTATAGCCAACAAACTCAAGATCAACGAGGAGAAGACTCAGACCCTTATGTGTTCCCTGAAGATCGGCCTTGAGGACAACAGCGTGAAGCTGCTTGGGTTCTGGATGGACTCTAAGCTAAGTTGGCACCACCACATTGAAAAGGTATGTGTAAAGCTCTCAAGAGTTCTTCACCTTTTAAGGAAGCTTAGGACCACCATTACCAGACCGTATTTGCTAGCGGTGTATCACGCACTGTTTCACAGTCACCTCACGTATGGCCTGGTTCTGTGGGGTCATTCTCCGTCAACACAGGAATTACTCCTACTACAAAAGAGAGCGATGAGAATAATAACATCTTCTGGCTACAAAGCACACTGTCGGCCTATCTTCCTCGAGTTGGGTGTGTTGACTGTCTACAGCCAGTATGTCCTTAACATCTTGACCCTGCTGAAGATAAACATTCATCATTTTGTAGTCAGAGACAATGTTCATAGCCACCATACCCGCCAAGCTTGTGACATTGATCTGCTGAGATGCCGCCTAGCCCGCTCTCTGAAGAGTTATCCTCGGTCGGCGATAAGGCTGTTTAATTCCTAGCCGGTTCATGTGCGCAATCTGGACCTTGATGATTATAAGACGGCCCTGCGTGACAGGCTGGTTAATAGGCCTCTTTACAGCCTCGAAGAATTAGGCAACGAGCCACTTTTTAGCCATTGCCACAGTGTAAATAGTATTGTGTAAATAGTATTTTAGTATTTAGTAATCTGACGCAGTCATGCCGATTTCATCGGTCAACGACATAGACTACAAGTATCAAGTAAGTAAGTAAGTATCATGGATAAACCATAGTAGTCTTAAACCTGTCCATGAGCAAGCAAAATTTGCTCAATTTGAATCACTGTCTCGATATAAACTGTTGAACAACCACTGACAAATCATTGTGCATTTGTGTATGACCTTCTACAAATTAAACTTACCTATGCCACTATTACACATTTTTAGATCAGAAAACTTGTTTGCTTACAGATCAACTAGCTAGCGATGAATTCCAATAGGGGTTAATCCTCTTCCTAGAGAATAGTGTAAAAACAAACACATTCTTTTTTGAGTTCATTAGCCTAGCCAAAGAAAGTGATTAATATTTATTGGAATATTATGGTATATTTATCATTTTTTAATAAATAGGCTAATATTCTTTGGCGCCTTATGGAAGTGTAATGCAGCTAGAATATTATTAACTTAAATAAAGTAAAGAACACAACACTGGTTTCATATTTGAGCTAGCTCCCTAGGTAACAAAAGCTTGATTGAGACCTTAATCCACAGACAACCCTTACAGATGCTGTCCAATTCTGGATCAAATTACTTAGCCTAGTTAAGTTAGATTACTCCTAAACAGAAATAGTAATTTTTTCTTAAAATTTTAGAACATGGACATTCAAATTGTACCAAAGCACAAGCAGATACATTAACTACAACAGAATAAATATTTAGATGTAAAACTAAGGAGTACAATTTTTGAAACTCCAGTATCCAAATTAAATTTGACAACATTCACTATAGGCTACAGTCAATCTATACAGTAATAAATAATTTGATTAATTCATACCGATTTTTCTAAATTGTTCAAAACTGTTTCAGCCTCCATGAGAATAAAAATAGTAAAATTTTCCTTGATATAAAGGTTTGATATCTACCGGGTAAAAATGAAAATTAAATATTTAGGCCTTCTCACTATCTTTTAATATACCAGATAATCGTCTGCGCCCTGCGGCTGCTAATGATCATGATCAAGAATGACAGTAGAACACAAGAAGAACTTGCCAAAACCTTTTATTCGTCAAGACTTCTGGCAAATCATAGAGTAACGTCTTAAGATATAGTATATAAACTATTCGTTATAGATTAAATATTTTCCCAAGAATGGGGTTGCACTTGAATACTTACTCTATCACATAAGGTCTATTATTAAATTATAAAAGGTTTATCTTAATCCTTATAAGGCCAAAAACAGTATGTAAATCAACTTTTGTGTTTGTCACTTAAAATAATGTATGATTAAAAACCCATAGATTAAGGGTCACCAACACGATCGACCACGACAACTTAATTGCCACCACCAGTTTAATCAGAGATGGTTGATTAACGGGAGCGTATACGAACATGCTAACAACAATTTACCATCCCGACAGACAGCTACCATAATATTCTGAAACAGTGCGGGTTGTGTTCTCGTATACACCTCCATCAACTCGCCACCACGTATAATCCCGGTTTACATGCACGTCCCTGACAAGATACCTCCACGACAACCTGCCACCACAAAGGAGTGCGTATTGATATGTATGAAGTACCGTGTTCGTGTTGACGTGCTCGCTCATGTCAAGGTGTCACCTCGACAAGGTGCCTAAGATCTAAAGTCAATAGTAACAGTCTTTTATTTGGCCTGGCCTGACTCCAACTAGTCCTAATTTATAGGCTCAGTTGATTGAGAAAATTAGGAGAACGGTCGACAGTTTATCTCTTTCATTGTTAAATAGTTACAGAGTATTAAAATCTAACTACTTTCAGTTTCATGTAGTTATAATCAATGCAAGCAACATGATTTACTTGGATACTTTTACTTTACTCTTACATCCCTCTACTCAGTCAAATCCATTCTATTCTAGTCCTTTACGACTTTCCAATCTATCATATTGAATTGAAATCATTGCGAATCCGTTCTGTTGCTGTTCTCTCCGTCTGTATAGATGGGAAGAAGAAGAACAGGAGGAACTTAAAACGTAAACGAACGCTAAATAGTAGTAATATACTAATATAGTAGTGTAGTACTAGTAGTAAGAGACTAGAGAGTACGGGTATTACAATTTACAAGTGTGTGGATGAATTAAATGACATTATTTCGTGCTCGATATAGAGATTTGTATAAAATACCAAAACAATGAACCATTCCTATAAAATAAAAAATTAAAATTTGGATTTATCTGAGTTGAAGGTATCGTAAATCAAATGTAAGCTTGTAATTTAGGTAGGCCTAGTTTAGGGAAATTTAACCTGTAATAGCCTAGGCCTATCAGGTATATTATGTTATTATTTGATTTGATTTCAGTGTTATCACTTAAACCTACATGGTTTTTACACGAAATTATGTAATGTATAAACCATAACAGCTAAATGAGATGTTTTGCTAGATAATCAAAATCCTAATACCCTAGGCCTACACGACCATAGGCCTAGGCTAATCAACCTCCCTCACCAGAAATTAGTTTACCCTAAGACTACCCTTTTCAAAACAACATTGCTTTTGCAATCTTTTATTTTAAACTAGCCACTGTGAATTTGTAAGCTTGAAACTGATTATTTTAAGGAGCAATTCAAAAATAAAGAGGTATAAACAAACCTAGGCTGTGCCCTAGACCTGTTCATTTTCTTGGACTATCTAAAACGCACAAATCCTTTAAATGTTAAACTAGAAGACAACAGTCACAACATTTTTGTCCATCCCAAATTTGTTGAGAAGTCGGCCAGTCCCACCTTCTTTTCACAAAGTCTGTTTCTTCATTTGCCAAACAGGCTAGTCCCTGTATGGCTGAAGCAGGAATTTAGTCTTAAGTTGCCACTGAAACCAATGGTGATTGTAAGTTATTGAAGTTATTTTTACTAGTTTCTATTTTAGGTATCTTCTTGTATACTGACCACACCCTTTTTAATCACGTTCCAGGAAGGAATCTGTTACAACATTTTAATATAATTTGCAATTAGGATGGATTTAAGACTCTCCTCTTTAACACGTTCGCTGCTACGGACGTTCCGGAACGTCAAACGGGCCACGGCGCCAGGAGCTAGGAGCGTTCCGGAACGTCGCCGTTCATTGATGTTTAACGTTACCATGGATCAGCCAGCTCGTCACAAGCGTCCTATATTTCTTTGCAGCTCGTGGGAACGTACTTTTCTGACAATAAAAAATAAAGTTTCCCAAAATCACCACCAGTGTCATTTAGAACAGGGCTTTGTCCCACCTCTTTCCAATCCTGCTAGATAGCGACAACTTACCGACTGCAACCTGGGCAGTGCTGCTATTTATCAGAATGACTTAGTAGGCTACTATGTCCAAAGCCAGTTTGATTGCAGAACATTGCCATCCAGTAAAACTACTGTTGTTTTTACTGTAATTCAGTGTTTCGGCAGCGACGTTTACATAGCGGCGAGCTTTAGTTCAGCTCCTGGCACCGTCCCGGCATCTAACGGTCAGCAGCGAACGTGTTAAGTTAGGCCTATAATGTAGGCTTTCTTAAATTTTAACCGATTAGGCTAAATGGTATGTATGTTTTTATTTTAAATAATATTTAAAAATCCATGAGATAATTTATATCTTGCCAGTTTTGCGCTTTCCCAATTTTGGATTGTCAAAGTGGTATGTCTGTTGTATACAGGGTGTCCCGGAACTCTCTACCAATATTTTAGGGCATTGCTCCTGGGTAAGAAACATACCTAAATATCATATTTAAATTGTCCGGAAGTCCTTAGTTACTCACACAGCCGCCATTTTGTTTTTTTCAGTTATTAATTTTTTTTTTAAAGAATGGTTAAACATACGAAATGGAAACTTTGCGCAAACATTTATGACAACTAGACAAAGCTACCAAAAATTTATGAAGATTTTTCAAATTCATAAAACAAAATGGCGGCGGTTTAAAAGTTTGTTTCTTAAATAACTCGAAAACCGTTGATTTTACCAAAATTTTACAAGAATAACTTTTTTAAGGCAATGTTAATACAAATCGATCGAAACCTAAATCTTTAAGATCGGACGAGTATTACCTGAGATATTGCAGTTTTAGTGATAATTGACCGCTGGAGGTTAGTAGCAGCGCATGCTGAAAGCGGTCATGTATCACTAAACTGCCATATCTCAGTTATTACTCGTCCGATCTAAAATAATAAGGTGTCAATCGATTTGTAATACAATTGCCTTAAAAAAGTTATTCTTGTAAAATGTTGGTAAAATCAACGGTTTTTGAGTTATTTAAGAAACAAAAAACTTTAAACGGCCGCCATTTTGTATTATGAATTTGAAAAATCTTCATAATTTTTTGGTAGCTTTGTCTAGTTGTCATAAATGTTTGCGCAAAGTTTCCATTTTGTATGTTTAACTATTCTTTAGAAAAAAATTAATAACTGAAAAAAAACAAAACGGCGGCTGTGTGAATAACTAAGGACTTCCGGACAATTTAAATATGATATTTAGGTATGTTTCTTAGCCAGGAGTAATGCCCTAAAATAATGGTAGAGAGTTCCGGGACACCCTGTATAATATTGTTTCCTAAGGCACATTCAGTAACTTCTGACTTAAGACCACATAGTCTGCACACACAAATCATTTTATGTAGTATTTTATTAACTAGGACATATAAACTAACAACATTTAATTTTTTAAATATAAAAAAAAATCTTCCGAAATATTTGGTAATCCGAAATGGGTACGGTCCCAACCATTTCAGACTATCGGGACTCTACATTATTCGCTATTTTTCTGCTATTGCGAAAACGATGATACTTAATGTCTCTGTGGCAGCGGAAGTATGTGTGCCCAATTACCGCGGCAGACGTTCTGCATTTCTCTGGGATCACATGAGACATTGATGATTTTCTGCGACTGTGGAATATGTTCACGATTTTATGTTGCAGGAGACTTAGGCCTATATAATTTATCTAAACACTAGGCTTATTTAAAGTTGTTAAAACCTGTTCAGCCATTTTAAGTTATGACTCAGTAAAAAAGGTGTGATGGCTGTTGGCAGAGTGAGAACGCTATTTCTGTTTCCACCCCATTACACCACTGATATAAAGGTACCTATTGGCAGTGCGCGGCTACAACTAACAGTCCTAATGTTTTGCCTATTTAACTCTAATGAAGAGTAAAAATAAAAACTCAACAATCCAACAAAATCAACTTGTGGAAAAAATATTTACCGGTTAGGTTAGGTTAACAAAAAATAGCCACTTAAGAAACACTGCTGGACGTAATTATATCATTGTTTTTGTTGTTTGTCACAACTTTTCAACTGCATCTTGTAGTTATGAGTGAGCCCTTTCAGCTGAGAGACTGGCTTGAGTAGGCTATCAGTGTGCTGTGGGATGTGCACTCTTCCCAGTCAGTCATCCTGTTGGGTTTCCATCACCTAGCAGACTCATCTTCAATATCCCAACTTTTCATCACATACTTTCAAGTTTCACCTCAAAACGTGCACGCTATCTTTCTGCACTTCAAAACTGTAATAATTTCTATAGGCCTAAACAATGTCTGTTGTAAATGAACGCAGTTACACGCATCTTACCTCTAAATGTTTACTCAAATAGGCCTAATGCTTTGATTTGACTACTGCAAAAGGCTTGTCCAAAAATTTAGCTTCTGTTGTGGCCAAGTGAGCTAGGTCTAGTTAAAACCTGAGATCAGGACTGTGTTCTTTACTTTCATTCACTACTTTTCTGGCCGATTCCCACCCATTATGAAAGAAAATGGTTTTTTAAAGATCTTGTCTAACTTACACTAGGACTACTTCAATTAGTTGCTGAGTAAAATTAATTTATGAATAAAATAATTAGTCTTATACAGACTATTAAATTATACTTTCTTTCAGGTTTGTCTGTTCCTAAATAAACAAAAGATGTTCAGTTTCATGAAAAAGAGTGGCTGTGAAAAAGATGATAAAGAGAAGAAGAAAAAGGATAAAAAAGATCGCAAAGAAAATAAGAAAAGAGAAAGAGGAAACATGACTACTGAAGAGTTGCTCAGATTGGATGAGGTAACTTGGGCCTATTTCTGTATCTGTTACTCCTTATCTAATCAGCAAACACAGACCCAGTCATGTGTTGTCCTAGGTTTGTGGCTGTAATCTGATTGAAGCGATGCAAACGTAGAAACAGTTACGAGCCGTGGGTAAGGCTAACTTACCTAAACAGTTTTTAACAGTTTCAAATCGCCTTTGAGCGCAAAAATTACCAAAGGCATAATCTGTCCTTACTTTTTTGCTACCTTTGTCTAGCTATTATAAAAGTGTTGAATAAACATACTGCAACTTTGCAGCCAGCCATATTGAGATGTTATGTGGTAATTTATTTTTCAAAACAGTGTTTCTAGGCAGTAAAACTTTGCTGCTTAGTAAGTTCACAAAATAATAACATAGCAACCTTTGAGGCACAAGATCTTAGTGATATATCAATGTTTATCTTAGAATAATACTTTCTATTTGTTGTAAATGTTCAAATCCATGAACAAATATTTTAATCCAATATAACTTTATTAAAAAATCAAATTCATCATAAGGACAGTTTGGTTTCCTAAATCTTTTTTAGGCCTACTAGCAAGAGATGAAAGTAAAGTAAAATTGATTCAAGCACAACTTTGAGACTTAGTAAAGGGTTGCCAAAAGTGCTTTTGGCATCGCAAATGTTATTTTGTACCACTCTATAAAAAAACTAATTTAGCACTAAGTTAGGCTATACAATTATAATGTAATATACCCCGCCGCAGCAAACCTGCAGACTAAGCGAATTTCCATTAGACTGATAGGATTTACACTAAAATGCCTCCTTAAAAATATCATACTTATTCCCTATTTAAATAGAATTAGTTTAACGAGTACTTAGGTTTGCTGCAACAGGGAGGGTAAAAAGGTGTTTTTTATGTTAATAGTTTAGTAAGAAATTAATGAATTTTCAAAATTTGATCAAAATATGTTCATAAACAAGCAAACTACAACAGTTGACTTATTCTCCATAATGAATAACATGGGGATTTCAAATTTACAGTTTTTTGGAATTTTCTCCGTAACCATTAGGCGCACAATAACACTTCAATATACTAAATTATTTGTTTTATTTTGCTCTACAAAATGGTCTGAAAAGAAATTGTAAAATTTTGTGTTTTTAGGGTCAAAAATGGGAAAAACCTATTTTTACTCCATAAAACCCCCTATAAACCCCCGTTCCCATAGTCCGATCATGCTGGTTCGCGAACTCGTTCGAATAAATGTAGGTTTACACGTTTGTACCAAATTTCATCAAAATCGGCTCATTTTTGCTTGAGGTACGTGCTAACGGACATATATATATATGAATTTGAACAGATGGTGTTTTTTTTTCCTCTAGGGACCTCAAAACGAAAAAATAAATCGGTCCCGGGTCCAGGTCTTACCATGAGTACCGGTACTACGGTAATAGCTTATTCCCTATTTGGGAAATTCGCTAAAATGGGAAGTACAATGTTCCTAGGACAAGAACTACATATTGCTCTACCAAAAAAACATTAACTAATAAGGATAGGTATTGAACTTTGAGGTTATGGTAGCCATGTAAAAATAGCTACTTAGCCTATGTGCATTCTGGGAACATGCAAATAAATTCAAACACTGCTGTTTTAAACAAATCTTTTTTAATATATATATATATAGTCTATAATTCGAATTTGGAATTCTATTCCTGACCACAATAAAGCCATATAAAACCGTGGTAGGTTTAAGCACAGAAAACGTACTACTATGACCCAGAATGCCAACCGCATGGTAAAAAGCATTAAGTGTTTTGAGAGAGCTTTGCCTGTCAATCCGTAGGCAGCGCCACCAGCGTTGCTATGCTATTGCATGGCAACGCTGGTGGCGCTGCCTACGGATTGACAGGCAAAGCTCTCTCAAAACGCTTAATGCTTTTTACCATGCGGTTGGCATTCTGGGTTATAGTAATACGTTTTCTGTGGTTTAAGGCAGAGATTAAGTGTATAATTTTCATGATCAGAAATGATTGAATCTCTTGGCAACGGCGTGACGGGTTGTTGGTGGCTTGCGTAAACGATTCTATTCAGGATTTGTCAATTGTCATAGATTGTTATTGTAGGTTATTTTATTTGATTTATCTATATTAATTGTTTTATTAATGTTTTAGAGGTCAAGTTGTTGAGTGGACTCGCCAACTCCCAACTACGCCTCTCAAATTAAGTAATTTCTAATTTAATTTTAACACTTTAGAGGTCGTGCGGAACGAGGTGAAGCCTGAGATTTTTGGCAGGAACGGTCTAAAGCGGGGAAATCCATTGTGGGGGTAAGAGACGAGCCGATCGTCGCCTTGCATAGCAACACTTCCCCCGCCACACCACTATTCCCCTCCAAGCTTCACCTCGTTCCGTACGACCTCTACTCTTTCTTTACTTACTTTAATTATGTCTGTGCAGGTTCGACGCTCATTGAAAATTAGAGGACGTCGAAAAGAAAAAGAAAAACTACCTAGTGGAATAACGGCTGATTACAGTGCAAGTTTTTTTGCCGAGTTAAGTAGAAACAATGATGGAGCTTGTGGACCTAGCTCTCATAGTCGTAGTGATAATCTAACCCAAAGTGATAGTTCGGAAACGAGCATGACATCTATTAACAATCCCGGTCCATCACACAGTAACTTGCCTCCACTACCTCCTCGACCACCCAAGCGCGGGATCCTCAAACAAACTCCGAAAACCTCTAGTAATAATGACTTATTAAGTCAGGGAGATACATCTTACACTCTAATGAGGAACACGTTACAAAACGAAGTTATAACTTATCAGAACTTACCAAAGCGATCGGCCCCGGACGGAACCAATGAAGGTGTTGAAGACTCATCGTCAATCGGCAGTGGAGATCACACGCCTAGCAGTTATCTGACTGCTCCAGTAGTCAAGGACGGCAAGACCCCGAGTATCGACAGTCTAACTGACTCGGCAACTAACAGCAGTTTTGCCACTCCTCCCTTTAGCATGAGTCCTGTCGGAGAAAGCCAAAGTCATCCATCAAATCTGGAGAGTAGTAAGTAAACAGCTTTTATCAGGATGATTTGTGCCATATTTTGACAAGTGATAATTTATAATTAAATTACTGTTGTTGTTTACCGATAAATTTGTCTCGCTAATTGCCGTTTGATCTTTTATATGTACATTTACTGTTGAAAATATAAGTAAGCCTTCAGTATAAAGGTACATTTAAGTTTTACTTGTGAACAATCATTAGTTTTGAGATCTCGGTAAAGCGTCAAACTGTGATCTGCTTTGTTTGCTTTTGCATCTTTGTATAAATTAAACAAATTATATAGGCCTACTTTAGTAGCCTATCCCACAAACTGTTGAAAAATGTTATTCTAAGTTTTGATAAAATATTAGCTGAAATGTTCTTTTGGAAGATATTATATTATTTCTACTTAGTTTACTTGAAACTTTAATGCAATCTTTAATATTTTAAAACAAAGCAAAATTAACTGATTATATTTAGGACTTTACTGAAATTTGCATACACAAATATATATATATATATATATATTTTTTTTGCAACAAAACAAGTTGGAAACATAGATGTTGTATGGTTTTAGTCACAGCTGGAAACGGTTAGAACAATTAACTGGAGTACAATGATTGGTAAAAAAACAATTTTAAAAGGTTTTAACTTGAACCAAATAGTGACAATTGGATACTGAAGTAGATGCCCCATCAACATGGACCATCTGTCAGCAATTTTTTATTAAAAAAGAACACAGTTGAGTTAGCCAGTCACAGAATGCGCTAGTGCCTAAAGTTATATTTTATTTCTTATTTTTCGTTATTGAAATACCGGTAGTTGACGGGTCAGTCGTTCCATCAGTTTGACTTGGTAAACAAGTTTGTGTGTCCGACAGTAATTATAAATTTACATCAGCACAAACTGCCGATAATTTGCATAAACTACTTTGACATGGGATGGAATGTCTAGTTGTATCGGTAGTCAAAGCTTTAGCCTAATGGAAACTAGGCTACATTTTAGATATACATGCTACCAATTTCATTGGCAGGAAGAAACAAATTGTGATGGTTCTTGTGTCTTAATAGTAAATTATTTTCCATTTCAAAGTAAAAACTAAAATTAAAATATTATGTATAGTAACATTTTAACAATGTATTACTTTTGTTAACAAGGGAAACCCGACAAGTGTATATAGTGCAAAAGTGTTCTATATATCTATCAAATTAACTTCTTAGCTCCAACTGCCATTTACAAATGTATAAAAAACTTGCATTGCTATTAGCCTAGGCCTATATACACTCTTAAATAGAAAAAAATCACTTGAATAAATACATGATTGCGCTTTCTGATCACAAAATCTCTTAAACCCAAATAAGGATAAGAAACAAACTATTAAAAACTGAATATACTGTAAGTAAAAAATATGTTATCTATGAATATTTTTTAAACGTTTTTGAGTAGCCTAAGTGACAAAAAAAAAAAATAAATAAAAAATAAAATGGGTGTATTTTCTACTAACTCTCAAGACTGTTGTAGTTTATTCAATTTTTTTAAATTAAATATAAGATATGTTTTAGGTCTTGAACATTTGTTAATTACTGTATATAAAACAAGTTCTCGAGTTGTTAAACAATCCCTCAATAAATATAGATCCGATCACAACCATACAATTTAATTGTTAGAGTTTAATAAACTAAAATGATGATAATCTTTAATTTCTCACATGGCATGGTGTCCTCTTGATAGATTATCAGTTTAATATGTTTAGTTAGCCTATATTTAAAGAGAAAACACAAGTTTTTTTAATGAGTGTAAGTACTAAGACAAATTAAACACAACTTGCACACATTCAAATGCAGGCAAACGAAAAAGAGCGAACAAAAACCACACGCTGTTTACGCACAAAGGACGACTTTACCAAAGTCACCGAACTGTTTGGTACTCTAAACATTTTCACTGCTCTCTTCCTTGAACTATTACCATTAACAGTGTGCCCATTCATTTGAATGTCATTTGATAACACTCAGTATTCCCTCAGCTAACTCCAAAATCCAAAGAAAAAAGTTTGAACAGATTTCCTCAATTTTATTCCAACAAAAATTCTTAGCGCGAGTTAACAAATTTTTAAAAAAGGTTTCAACTTTCAACATTGTTAATCTTTGTTTGAATGTGTTCATTTCCCAACTAGTTCATTAGTTTTCCAGTCTTATAACATTTAAAAAGTATGTACAATTCTGTATGCTGTTTTTTATGCCACAAATATGTCTTTAAGACTATGTAGTACCTACATACTTTTGAGAGTATCAGAAAGTTTGGTTTCAAATAAAATTAAACACAAATAATTTATTCCAAGAATATACAGTTAGTACTATAGGCCTACAGAAATTACAATTGAAAAAAATTATATTCCTACTACTAGCCTATTTAAAACATTTCGTGACAAAGAATTATTTTATTTATCTATTTAATCGTCAAACTATTTTGAGGTTTGTGAAATAACCACCCAGTTAGTTCGCCTTTAAATTCAGTTTCATTATTCATTAATGTTACCTAACTGACATTACACAACAATAGAAATTATCTGTTACCTTGATAACATATCTGCCTATTTATTAAAGTGTAGTTTTTGTTAGAGTTTGTTTAAAAATATGACATAACTATATTTTATCTTACATTTATCTATTAGTGTTAAAAAGTACAAAATAGTATTTATCATTAAATTTTGAAATGAATCTTATTTTGATGTCTTTAAAATTGGGGCTTTAGTCAACACTAATCTTTTTTTAATGATTGAATGTTGAACTGAGTTTCCCGTTGGGTTTGGAAAGATGTAACTGTTACTGGTTAGTTTGGATGACACTTTAGAATACACCGTAATACATTAGTATTCTGGAACTGTCCCTGCTCGTTGGTATGCAGTTTCTTCCGGACACTCATTCATCTTTCAGAATAACAATGTAGACTTAATGTCATTTATGTTGACACCTCGTCTAGTCTATTACTTTGCTAATCGTCCCAGAGTAGATAAAATCTTCAAGTTCAGTTATCTGTGTCTGATAGCAAAGTCTGTTTTATTACCTTCGTATCTTACTTGCAATATATTGTGTAGTCTCCTTATCTACCTTGAGAGTTAACATTCCATTAAGAATTACAATTAAAAATTGTCACATTTTTTGTGTTACTAGTTTTGAAAGCTGACTTAGTAAAAATTCAAATCGTAATTGCAGAATGTTTTTGAGGAGAATTAATTACTCGTGTTCAGAATATTTCTTTCTACTTTAAAGTAAATATTTATATTGTTATAATACTAGAGCATAAAATAAATATTTTCCGTGTTTATCGTTAAATATAGCAATGGAATAGCAAATATATTTCTTTCTTGCACACGACATTAAAATTTATTAAGTCTTAGCCTTCAAACTTAAAGATAATATTGTAATGGGAAGAAGTAAAAAAGTAAAAATAACTATTAATTGCGTAATGTTATCCAATGAAGACTTATTCAGTTGTGTCAACTCAGATCCCTACCCAGAAATTTCAAAATTGTTTACAAAAACTTCATTTTACCAACTGTGCAAAAAGACATGATTGGTCACTAAATAAAAAAAGTTTATTAATCATCGTTCTAAGAGGCTATCTCACCAAGATAAGAGTAAGGTAAGAGGTTTGAGGCTATCTCACTCAATATAGACTTAACTTGACTAACCTATGATAAATTAAACCAAATTAAACTTTCTTATCACTAAATGGTTTATACTTAGAATAATTATGAAACAGGTGACATTGTTAGCAAATAATTACAATAAATATACCTTGAAGATCAACGTTACATTCTATGTCCCTAAATAAAAAAAGTTTCCAAAAATAATTGTTTGAGTAGTTGTTTATGCTAAAAAGTATTTTGAAAGTTTCTTTCTTGAACACAATTATTTTAGGTATATTCTTGAAATCTACAGGTTACTTATAAAACAGTTATTTTGCCTTGTATGTTTGTTTTTCTATAAGATACACACACTGGATGGGAAAACAAAAATTTATCCAAAACTTTGTGTTAAATAAAAATTTTCATAGTAAAAACCTGTGTAGTTTGTTTATAACACAAGGTTTTGCGTAAGTATACATTTGAAACATTTAAGATTTTTAATTCCCTAATAGCGATTTGCAAGATTTAAAAAAATGTGAGAACGAAATATTCTTGCATATTTAAGTTATTACTTTTGTTTGAAAACCATTCATCTTTATCACATGATAAACTCCAGAACATAATCACATAATCTATTATTGAAAAAAAAAAACGTAAGAGTAGTTAATATATACAAATATTTTTGTAATAGATTGTTGGTATATTTATCTTAACCTATATCTATCTACTAAAATATACATTCTGTACTTTTTTGTAGGTTTGTGTTGTGATCTCTCTCTGCCAAGAATAGAACCTGTGAGACTACCCAAGCCACGAGTATTGTCCATCTCACGTCAACCTCCTCCCCGAAATGACTTTGGATTCTCGTTGCGCCGCGCGATGGTAGTTCAGCGAGACACCAGTGGAGGGGGCGGTTACACACTCTCAGCTGTCATCTTTGCTGAACCCGGCGCGATTGTTCAACATCGGAACGATACGGGTCTGCTTCCAGGAGATCGGTTGCTGGAAGTCAACGGTGTCAAAGTCGATGATAAGTCCCGTGAAGAAGTGATAGAGATGATAAAATCATCAGGTGCAGTGGTCAGTGTTAAGGTAAATATGGTCTTATGTGTCTTTTACCTTTGTTGAATTGAATTATGGTACAGTACATTCCCAATTATTCACAACTGGATTTACCAAGATCGTAAAAAAACATTAAAAAATATATTATGCAAACTAATTGTACGTTATACAGTATCGGCCAAGATGTTTAGCAAATGAAAGCCCATCATCTTGCGGATAGACTATAAAGTTGCCGTTGTTTACTTCATCGACGACCAATTACAACCGATGAGTTGATAAGTTACATTACGAGGATGTTTAATTTTTGTCATTAGGCCTACTTATTACTAGACCTATACATGGGCTCTCCAATACTATCTGTTTTGTAAAAAGATTTGTTTTAAATAAAAGTTAATAAACACTGCATTTAAAATATTTATTATTACATAAACTTGTATTAAAGCTTAATTAAACATTCAAAGTCAATGTTAGTTACTTCCCGGGCATTTTAGGATAGATTTTGCACCATCCACGATTTTGATTATCCACGACAAAGTCACTTATTTTTGGGAGTCTACTGTATTATAGAGAGTACTATATACTATTTGGGATATCAGTAATCCCAATCATGAATCAGAAACAGCTGTTTATGGTTTGTTAAAGTCTACTTAATAAGCTTACAAATGTAAGTGTATTATGCTAAAACTTAGAGAACAGAATTTGCTGGTTTGTTATAAAGATATTATTAGCAACTGTTAACACACACTTATATGTTATGATATGCTTTACACACTGTCTATAATGAGTAATATTTTTAATTTACAGTACAATTATCAGTACAATACATTACTATATATCACATTGACTTCGTATATCCTTCCTAATCCAATCAGTTCTAAAAATATTTTTTTTTCTTTTACATATATCCTAATCTGAATTACATGACTGTTCATTTCTGATTCCATGCCAATATGTATGCATTAAAAATGTTATTTATAACTCAGGTTATTTCATTTATTGATCTAAACAGCGCTAAGTTGACTTGATTGCACTAAAACATATTTTATTTTTAAACGTGGTTTTAAGGTCAGGTCAATAATGAATTCAGTTAGATAAATATTTTGGGCATCACTCAGCTTTATGAAATGAGGAGAACACAATCCTTGTCATTTCACATTTAAACACACATTTTAAACAAAATTACAAAAGTAAAGATGATATAACGGAGTCTTTAGTGTTGGTGTGTGAGATGAACTGTGGTGACAAGGAATGTGTTCTCCTTATTTCAAAAAGGTGAGAGATGCTCAAAAATTTTGATCTAACTAAAACTTATTTATTGAATGTTAAAAATAACAAATGACAACTGAAAAACAGTTAAAGATATGGTTTATTTAATTATTCTGTAATTATCAGCTGTTTCCGAGTTTGCGCTGATTGGACATTGATGTGTAAATGAGCCTCTGTCAAAGAGATTACTGTTGACCCCAGTCTACAGTGCAGCGTTTGTTTTGATAACTCCTTCGTTATTGATTAGTCATATGTCAATAGCAATGGGAAGTGTTGGTTTTAATGCTTGAGAGAAATCTAGCCATTTGACATGAATAATTTGTTCAAAAAGAAATTCAATAACAGGGTAAATATTTTTTTCTTAGCATAATTATTAGTTTTGTTTAAAGTGTTTTTGTAGGTGTATACAATAACACACAATAACATTAAGGCAGTGTAGTCGTCTAAATGTAGGCCTGTTTGATGAATTTTCTTACTTATCAGTACCGTAAGTAGTGAGTCAATGAGTTGAGTTAATGTTTTGTGTTTATAGGTGCAACCAGTCAGTGAGTTGAGTGAATTGAGTCATAGATCTACAATGGACGGGCAGACGGTGGAGTTAGATGACAGCAACATTCGAGGCGGAACTCTAAGACGAAGTGGCAGTCGACGGTTCAATCACTCAAACATGGTCAGTATCAGGGAAGAGGAAAAATAAATTTTATTTTGTGAAAGAGTTTTGTTATTTCAAAAATTCTTAAATGTTTCCTTTGGTTAAAAAACAGAGGGGCTATTATTTCGATTCCATCCCAACCTCAAAGCTGGAACAAATTCAAACAAATTTGTCAATGTTAGTTTGAGTACGGTAGGGATGTAATATGAATTATTGATAAAGTTTCAGCCGTAGGTATACATTTGACTGCCCAATCATAATGAGAACATATATTTCATTTAAACATATCCCAGGTAACAAGATTCATATGTAGTTCAGGGCGATGTCGTTAAATCAGCCTCCGTTAAATAGGATCCCTGGATAACCGGAGCAGTCTGCAATTAATAAACTTGAATATAAATTTATATAAGATATAAATGTTTGTAGTGTATGAGCACACAATCAAGCGGGGATTATCCCTGGTTTTGTGCAACCTAGTTTGTTTGCTATGACTGAGCATCTCAGTTATTGTAATTGTTAATGTTTTACTGAAATGTGGAATCATTTTTCAAATCTTTGAATCCGTTCAGTGTTGTTTTTCTCTGCAGTATATGAAAATGTTGTAGCATACATATATCTTTCTTGTCGTTTTCTGCTTTTCCTCAGGCTAACACAGATTTTTGTTGTGTGGGATTGGCCATGGCCTCGGCTAGTCCAACTTAATGAGGTTTTACTGTACATACAAAATTGATTTTTGAGTTAGAAACATCTCAAAGTGTATGTTTTTAGACTATTTATTTTCAGGCTAAAACAGAAGAACAAGTAGCTTTGGAGCGCGATTGGCTGCAGAAGGATCATCTCTGGTTGATTCATCGGAATGGGTTTTCAGCCGTGACTGTTCTCTCACACCAACCCGACATCCACAAAATGACTGTGTCTGTAGACAGTAGCGGGGAAGAGATACAGATTGAAGAAGATGAAGTAGAAAAGGTACAATCCTGAAGTTAATGACATCCCTGCACAATTCCGAAGCCAATCACATCCCTGCAACAATTCCGAAGCCGATCACACCTCTGCCACATTCCGAAGCCAATGACATCCCTGCCACAAATCCAAAGCCGATCACATCCCTGCCACAATTCCGAAGCCAATGACATCCCTGCAACAATTCCGAAGCCGATCACACCCCTGCCACAATTCCGAAGCCAATGACATCCCTGCAACAATTCCGAAGCCAATCACATCCCTGCCACAATTCCAAAGCCAACTGCCAATTAATTGGACCTGATTCCAATTCATGGACCAATTAAAAAGCTTGTCTCATAAAGATGAAAACTCGTTTATTAAACACCAATATTGTTGTGTATCAATGCAACAGTTTATTTTTACTGAGTGATTTTCTCTTTCAGGCAAATCCTCCGACTCTAGACAGAGCGGAAGACTTGACACAGTTACTCTATGTCAACGAGTCTAGTGTACTCAACACCCTCAGACAGAGGTACGCAGCCAACCTGATCCACACTTACGCAGCCGATGTCCTCGTCATCATCAATCCTATGGCACCTCTCGCAATATACTCGGAAAAGGTTGGTATCTTTCAAATGAGAATACTCATTTATTGAGACAATCATTAGGACAACATGCTCTTTTTTTCACAAATAAACTCAAAAATGCCAACTATAATCTATGGTCAGATACACATGTTACTCTCCATATATCCAGGCCTAATGCACACAATCCCACCAGGCCAAGAATTAGGTAGGGCGTTTTCAGCGCCACCGTTACCGTCTGTCTAAAACAGATCCTAGGCACATAGTGTGAGGTAGGGAGGTCCAAAGGCGACTTGCTACCGAATTATAATGAAAAACTGTGAAAATGTAGATAAACATTACTATTATTTACACAATTTGACAAACATATGTATTCACTGCTATTGTGAGATTGTTACTACTGAGTAACTGTTGTTTGCAGGTGTGTCACATGTTCCGAGGATGTAAGACGGAAGACATGCCTCCCCACATCTACGCTACTGCGCAGTCTGCGTACGAAACTGTCATATCCACCAGACACGACGGTTCTGTTGTATTCATGGGACACTCCGCCAGTGGTAAAACTACGAACTTCCGTCACACGCTTCACTACTTGGCTTTGGTCGCTGGATACCAAAATAAGGTTATTTTTATAATTAATTAAAAATAATAAATCGATCAAAAACCTTGATTAAACCAATAGTTATCCTGTAGGAGAAACTCTTATTATTGTAGAAAAAAACAAAAATATACAGCCGTTATGAGAGTGAACAGAATAAGTTGTTTGTTTGTGTCCAGGTGAAAATTTGTTAAATAATCTGGTACTATAATAGTAATTCTATTTTCTTTACTTTATTTTGAATGAAAAATTTTTATTTTAATAATGTATTCATTTATTGAGTAAGACAATAGTTATTTGTGCAACTAGTGAGAAAAGTGAGCAATTGACTCACTCGAGAGAAATCCTTACTCACGAGCCGTAGGCGAGTGAGGAATGGTTTCTCGAGTGAGGCAATTGTACTTTGAACTCGAGTTGCACATTATACTTTTCCTACAGTTACCATAAAACAAATAAATTGGTGAAGAAACATAACCTATTTTTTAGGGGTGTGCGAAGCAGCAAGAAATTTTCGATTCGAAGCAACGATTCGATTCAAAAGATTTTCGATTCGATTCGATGCAACTCGATTCGAAGCAATACGGTATTTTTCTATTCATAATTGTCAATTGAGTGGATTAACAATAATTAAAATTTACCACATTTGTGTAATGCAAATTTTTGTTGATGTGGTATTAGGCCTATTCATACTTAACATATGAATTTTAGGTGAAAAAATATTTATTTTCAATCATAGGGATTAGAATAACCTGTGAGCTGGTTTACTTGCCTATTTCATAATTTTTACTTGGAATTGGCTCAATTGCACGAAAGAAGAAAATATTTTTTTTTATCAAGACATTAATTCTCATTTTAATAACTGTTTAAATAACTAAATAGGTACCGTCAGCTAAATTACAACAAATTTGAATGGAACTTAATATAAAAAGACCATTAAGAAATAAATTTAGCCTACATATCCTGTGGACCTGCTTCAGGACTGCAAGCAAGAAGAAAATAAAAATAATATGTTTCCACCATGCAATATGTATCATTCATTCCCTGCCCCCTAACCTCCTTAGTATAATAACCTCACACTTACATTATTTGTTACATCATCATAAATAAAGAATTATCTATTATTGGCATCAGTTAGTAGGCCTACAGCTTTACATAGGCATTATTTTTTATAGGACCTAAAAAAGTCCTAAAAGTGTACTAAGCAACATGACAAGTGGAGAACTCATTGAAGAAAAGATATTGTGTAAACTAATTTAGGCCCTACTATAAAACTAAAAAACAGTAAATAACACACAAACATTGTTTATGGTATAATTATTAAGGACTGTAAAAAATGCATATCATGTCATACAGTAGTATAGACCTACTGCAAGAGATTAAAATCCTAAAACAACTGATTTTGATAGCTAATGAATGAAATAAAAACCCATAAAATAAAGCCAAACAAAATCACAATTAATTAGGTACCCGAAAAGTAACTCTTAAATAATATATAGTAGATTAAAATAATATTAAATCAAGAGATAAGAAAGTTAAATACTAACTTCTAATGCCCTTGGCAACACAGGTCAATGTTTTTAAACTACCCTCAATGTTTTTGGAACAGCAGGGTCTTTTTCTCTGAAGGAAGGGTATTAGTATGTCAACAAAAACAATGAATCACTCTCCCCAGCCAAGCCCAGGCAACGATGTGTGCATTCAAGGTCATAGACCCTACCCCTCCCCTCTTACACCACCCGGTTGCTACCCAGTTGCTTCAATTGCTGACAAAATGCAAGTGATGAAACAAGGAAGTAGAGACAAAAAAATATATTTCTTTATTCAAAAACAAAACTGTTACAGATCATTTTCAAAGAAATTAATTCATTGTAATTTGTGAGTTGTAAATATTGTATTGGATCTTAGAAATATATTTTTTTAACCCCATCTAACCAAGATACAGATCTGTTCACTATATCAGATATTTATTTTGTTTATAATTTATTATGTAAAATACTAAAATATATTTTAAATTAGGTATGGAATAAATAATAAATGATTAAACTAGTATGTCTGGATAAATAGTCTATTCTTTTGACTTTGTTTTCTTTGCACTGTTAGTGTTGCGTAACAGCTTTTGTCTTGTCAATCTTGTCAGTAGACGACTAGACTAGCTCTGGCTAGTGGCAGTGCGGCAATTGCTCTGTTGTGTCTTTATTCGTGAGCCAACTTACTAATCTTTAATTCTCATTTGAACATTTTAATTCCTCTGTAATAATAGATATAATAATATAAGAGTGTTTCTTTGGAAATAAATTATTCTTTTTTTTCTCTTGCCCGAACAAAAATTGGGACCAACAAAAATACCAAATGTATCAGTCTATAACATTAATCTTACTAGTTAAGTATTAAGTAACAATTTTTCAGACTTATTTTAAAAATCATTTTGGAGTGACCTATCTTGTTTTGGCTAAGTTTACAGTACTGTAGTAAAATATTTTTCACACTGCTTACATCAAGACAAAAAACAAAACCTCTCATCATTTGCAATGTCAAAACGAAAAAATATAAAACAATTAAAGCTATATTTAATGCAAAGAATGTATTAAATAAGAACGCCTTCGTAAAGGAAACGCAACAGCAACGCGCTCCTGTATTGCGGGTATTGCGTTGACTTTCTGCAGGCGTTTTTCGTATATGGATACTGACTCCCTCATGAATCGAATCGTTTTTTGACCACCACTGAATCGAATCGCGATTCGATGCATCGAATCGAATCGAATCGAAATTTCGATGCATTTTCGATGCATCGCACACCCCTACTATTTTTACACAGAAGTGAACTTTTAATATAACATTTAATGTGAAGTTACAAATACAACAGTACAACAGCTGACCAGCTGATTTACAGCCAGTGCTGCCAACGTATTTCGCGCGCATATGACGTTGCCTGCATGTTACGCGCTCACTATTTCGTGCCTTCACGTTGCAAATCTGGAGTGAGACAAAGTAATTAGAGTGAGACAATGTTAACATTGTCTCACTGATGAGCGAATTGGCCATTTTGCTTTCTCAAATCAGTGAGAGAACATGTACATTGTTAGGTATTATTATAAAGTTATATAAAACAATCTGAATGTCTTACAGACAAGTCATTTAGGTCTCTTTTGAGAGTGCGATTCAACATTTTTTATTACACCGTCTATGGATGTTTTAAAATTTTGGTTTTGGTTATTGAACATAAGGTCAGTTGATTTGCCAGTGTGAGACTAGAAAATTAACCAATCATATTTTTTATTTAAAAATATGTTCTCACATTAGTATTACAAGTTACAATCAAATTATATCCAACCTTATTACAATGATCATCTTGTTACACTCTGAAAAATCCATGTACTTAATTGTCAATGGTTTTAGGTGATTATCCCCGAAAAACTGAATGCAATTTGGACCTTGTTAGAGGCATTTGGGAATGCCAGTACTCAAAACAATGTTAATGCTACTCGCTTCACACACATATTCAGTTTGGATTTCGACCAATCAGGGGCAATCGCTTCGGCTTCGGTGCAGGTAAGTTACATTGGCTCCAGTAGAAAAGTCCCAAAAGGTGTTTTTTGTGCAAATAGTGGCCAAAATTTGTGTTTTTTAAAGTGAGTTAAACAATTCTTTGAGTTTTAAAAATTCACTAGCACATAACTTGCGGATCATATTTTGTCTACAGTCGTAATCATGTGGCAACAAAAAAATCCCAACATTAAAAATATTGGCACAACTTTGAGAAAAGTTTTATTTTATTAGTGAATTACAATGTTGAGGCGTTGGTAAATGAAATTTCATTGCCAACTTTAATGCTCGGCAAACGAAAAACTTTCATTATTCAACAAACAAACTCGGCAAACGAAAGTAATTATTTCATTATTCAACCAAAAGTCACCTTATGTTTATTTATAATATCATCATTTTGCACTTGGAAATTATTATGATCTATACACGGACCATTTCTTGTAGATCTCTTTTTATTTTTCCTCTTGCAAATTATAACTTTTAGTTCTTTGACCGCTCATCAAATGTTTTCCTCAATCTTCAAATCCAACTGGACGATTCATGGGAAATGGTGCCTTGTATATCGATTACTTCATTTTAAACATTCTTGTCACCAAGACTGATTAAGTACGATATATATATATATATATATATATATATATATATATATATTATACAGACTGTCCCAAAAGTCCCGGACCGGTTTAATATTTTCTAAACGACAACAGATAAATCAATAAGATTTTACACATCAACACCACACTTAAAAATCTACTTTTTTAAAGAACTATCAATTTTCTGTCATATCATGGGGACGTCCCACGAGGAGTCAGAAGGAAATCTTAAATAGGAGCATAGGTCAATATGCACATCAGTTTAAAGGGCTTAGCTAGCAGAGTTCAATGCCGGAAACCGCGCCTCGAAAGGATCACCCGTTACAAAATGGCGGCCGTTCAAAGATTTCTTGAACCTGCCATTTTGAATCTTTGAACGACTGCCATTTTTTACTCAGGCGTTCTTTTGAGCTTGAATTTACGGCATTGTAATCTACTAGTGAAGACCTTTACTTTGATGTGCATATCGACCTATGCTTACGTAAAAAAATTTTTTCCGATTCCTAGGGCTGTGCCCCCAAATGCAAATTAAATGAATCTTTGAACCACTGTCATTCTTGACTTGGTTGTCCGTTTGAGTTCAAATTTGCAGCATTAAATTCTGCTAGTAAAGACCTTTAATTTGATGTACATGTCAACCTATGCTCCTATTTAAGATTTCCTTCTGACTCCTTGCGCGTCGTCCCCATGATGTGACAGAACATTTATATTTCCATAAAAAAGTAGATTTTTAGGTATGGTTTTGATGTACTAAATCTTATTGATTTATCTGTTGTAGTTTAGAAAATATTAAACCGGTCCGGGACTTTTGGGACAGTCTGTATATGTTATTTACCTCTGTCCAGTGTTCAGTCTTAAATATAGTCTGGGGGGACTAGTTTCAGGGTGAATAAATTTGGCTGGCTTACAGTTTTTTAAATCTATCTGTGTGTAAATTGAACTTTATGTGTTGTCCTTTATATACATTTTGATGAAAACTTCAGTCGGATTTATAGACTAATTCAATTTGATGCGGATTTTATAATGGGTCTTTGAACCGAAACTAGTTATTTCCAGACTATTTTTAAGACTGAATACTGACAGAGGTATGTAACCTATATATTATTTGATTATTTCTTCTATGATTGGGGCGACTGCTGGTAGTGCACAGGACTTCTTTTGTGGAATCGTGGGTCCAAATCCAGCCTTGTGATTGCTTTAAATTTAAGATTATGTCGAAATTGGTGCTTTTGATTTCATACTATGTAGTTTGTCCAACTCTAGTGAAAGAAAAATAGGCCTGTGTGTCTTAGGCCAGAAGACAAATTTTTAATTTCAGTAACAATGTCAAATTCTTTAGTTCTTGATTTCCTATTAAGTATAACAAGATATTGTTCTATACATTCTACCAATTTCAAATTTTGTTTACAGCTTCTTTTGAATGAGCGTTGGCGTGTCGCGTACAGACCAGAACAAGAATCTACATTCCATGTATTCCGACGGCTGATCCAGGGCTGTGATGGTAATTTACGCAAGGAACTCGCCCTCGACGCTGTGGGGGAGAACAACCCTTACATTGGACTCATCAGCAAGGTCTGTGCTTGCGATTGGAACCTTGATAGTAAAGATTTCTGGTAGAAAATTTTAGAACAACAATTTTAATCCCTTTTCATATTAGGAACGAAGGAACATGTGTGCAAATTGTGCAGTTTTAAACTTCTAATAAAACTACTAATTGTAAATAAATTCAATTTGTTGAATAAGTCCATTTTCATACACAATTCGGTCTCTTGTTTACAATCTGACTGTGGTCATATATTCAATTGAAGGATCAGCTGTTTAATTACAAATTACATTTAAGCCATTATAAAGTAAGTTGTTCAGCATCACTTGATCTTTTAAAGTGGATCTAGAAATAAATTAAACTCAAGAGGACGGAGCCCTGAAGGAAATCACCTTTCTAGTTACCATTTGCCCCTCTGCCAAATCATAATTTTTAAAGTGATACCTAAATCTTTAAAATAGGCTAAGTAGGTGAAAAAGGGATCTTAAAGAGAAAATGAAATAACTTATTTTATTATAATTAAAGAGGCTAGGTACGTGTATCTCGCTCAACCCTATCTTATTTGACATTTAGGGCAATTTTTGACAAGGTTTAACTGATATCAAGATTAAAGAAACACTTGGGTTCAAATCGCGCCAAAGGTTCTAGCTAATGGTTGAAATGTAAAGCTTGGAAGGCCAAATTCAAATACCAATAGCTTTTAGTAATAAAACCATACCACGTGCTCCTAAACTCAGCCAAAGTAAGACTAACTGTATAAATAAAAATAATCATTATCTTAGACAAAGGGAACTATCTATTCATTGGAGATCTCTTGTTTGCATGTTGTGTGTATCTTTAATTTTTTATCCAAACAATTAAAACTTAACCTAGAAACTGTTATTTTAGGTCGAAGACCTCCAAAAAGCTATTGGAGAATTCTCTCGCCTTTGCGGAGCTCTGACTGTGATAGGAGTATCAGACTCTGAAGCTAAAGTGATTTGGTCTGTGATTTCAAGTATTCTTCATTTAGGAGCAGCAGGAGCAGTGTACAGTAAGTGCATTTTTTAAAGTTATAATTACTTCTCAAGCGTAATAGAATTGAACAAAATTAAACTTTGCACTCTATATCCTTTTTGTATAAAATTAAAGTAGTTATAAAGTTTTACAAGATTTTTTCTCTTTTTTTTTCTAAAATAATTTCTTGACCAATCACCAATTCTCATTCCATTGTTCTTGTTTAAAATATACATTGATACTGTTTTTCCATTTATTAACTTTTTAGATTCTCAGTACCTTCTCTCCCTTGTGTTTATTATATGCTGTGGTTGCATTCCATTTCGATTTTGAGTTGGTGGTGATAAAAGAATCACTAATTCCAACCTGTTTTAGTTGTAGTCAATTTGGCATTCTATATTTGGAATTGAATGAAATCACAAACATCCAAAGTATCACTGACCAATGAAATGACCACATTTCATCCTGCTCCAGACCAACTTTGATAAGCTAAGAAAAACACAACCTTCCCTTCCCCTTTAAATTTACTCTTTTTATTAAATTTCATACAGATTAAATAAGTTAGTAACTGTTTTATTAGGCTAAGGTAAATACTTTGGATGGTTCACTTTAGTATAACTTCAAGCCCGTGATTGGGAAACCTTTGGTTAATATAATAATACCTTCTAAACAGACACAATATTATTCAAGTTTTTGTGAATATTAATTTGACAATAAGTAGTATTACCATCTGTTTTTATCTTATCAAGCTGTGTCTTGTATTTTACATAATTGAATACTTATCAAGCACTTACTATCTCACCACAAAATCCATAAATGAACAGTAGCTCACTGGTTTTCCTTATATTTTAGACAAGTCGGCGAACAGGTGGCAGTTTGGAAGAGCAAATGCTGCCCAAAGAGCGGCCCAACTTCTCGGCACGACGGTGGACAAGTTGACGCAGTTGTTGTTCGGCTACTCCGAGACTGGTTTTGTCTCCCCGCCTGAGATGGACGATGGACAACTAGCTCTGGATGCCTTTGTGGTTGGATTGTACAGCGAACTTTTCAATGTCATCGGGTTTTTCATAAATAGGTTAGTTAGAGCTTAAAGCTTTGGTTAGTACTCGCTTAGTATAAAATATGACCTACATTACAATTAAGTTTAGTTGGCCAAGTTGGATGTCCAGATAACCCGGACTGGGTTACAATCATATAAAATATATACTTTGGTATTGCCATTGCTTTGCATGAATCCATAACTGAGTGGTGATTTTGTTTGATCATGTTTCTGCAGTTTTCCACAACTGAGTTGGCTTTCCGTGACTGTATACCTGTTACTTACTGTAATTCTGCATACCTGCTTGGTGATTCATTGCCATTTCGAAATTGATTGTGATGTGTAAATATTATTGTCAAGTATTTTCCTCCCCTGATAAAAAAATCACAGGTTTTTGTTATGTCGAAACAATTTTACTAAACAAGATTGTACTGGATTCAATCTTTATACCGAGAGATTAAAAAAAATATGTATACAGTTTTTGCAGATTGGTAATATTTAAATTTGGCTTGTTTTTCTGTAAGAAGAGCTGGTAGCTTTCATGTAAACGACTAGGAATTGGACCATGAACAATGTTCATGCTTTTATAACTTGATAGTTCACATTTTGGGTGTATTTATGTAATGATAAGTTTAAATGTGTATAACAGAGGTTACATGAGCACAGGGAGGGATCAGTAGATATCACAAGACAGGAGCCAAGGTTACTCTACTGGACATGAATGAACTCCAACCATAAAAATTAATTTTGACCGTACTGCATTCAGTTAGTCAAAATTTTTAATAGCTGGGTTTTTATACCATGGGAGTGAGTGAGTGGGTTCTACCAAAGTTTTGGGTAGGCCTAATTATTTTTTTAGATTTCACAATTAAAAAATTCACGCTTTTGTCACATTTGTGGTGGACGATGATTATGTTTTTATGACTGTGGGAGTCAATGATGATGTCTACAAGATTGCAGGAGCTATTCAAGATTTTGCCGTGATCACAAAAGACTATATGGTGATGTTTTTGCTGATGCGGGAGACGATGATGTCTGCACTACTGCGGGAGATGTTCAAGATTTTGCTGCAATTAAGGACTTCTGCCTTCTTTTATGACGATTTTAATTACTCTAGCTCTATGTTTTTGATTTTATAATTCTTTCTGTAAGAGATTTGGATAAAAGGTGATTCAGATAGTTGGAGTATTGTAGATGCTTGTGTATTAAACAATTGGCACACAATATTGATAATGATAATCTTCCCCAGATGTATCACCATGAAGGTTCACACAGTCTTTTCCCTACTGGTCGTGGATAGCCCAGGGTTCCAACAACAGAGCTCTCATGGTGACAGTGTAGCTTTCTACAATCTCTACATCAACTACCTGGCCGAGAGAATCAACCAACTCTTCCAACATAGGAGTATCGTGGCTCCAAGGGAGCAATATCTACAGGTTTGTAGAAAATATTACCTGAGTTAGTAACATAAAAATAATCGTCCAGAATTGAGAGGTCACAAAGTACACTTATTACAAACATAACAATTACAGTGAGCTACATTTTTAAAGCTATTAATATTATTTTCAAAATAATTTACTTCTTCCTTATACCGTTTTTGCTGCTCTGAAGAGCTTATTAGTCTCTGCATGAATAGCAAGGGTGAGCTACATTGTTCGACATCTAGAAGCATCGGTCCACCTCATTAAAGTACATTGCAGATTACAGGTTAGGTTAGGTGGCTTAAAATTCTGAAGGATAGTTATTATAACTTTGGGTAAAATGGACTTTATCAAAAGTTTGACTGCACTGTGTTACGGTAGTTAAGGGAAAACCTTCCATTTTCAAGTGACCTTAATATCCACATTTACCTACTCTTCTAAAAACATATGATACCCTAAATAAAAAGGGTAGTTAGGTAAATGTACTTAAAAGCGCAGTGTACTGTTGGATGAATGGCACCTTTTATTTTTTTCATGTTAGTTTTTAGTATACAGTATAAGTATTGTAGCTTTAATCCCTTTACTATGATGATGATGCCAATTACAATTTTCTGTATCGTTCAAAGACTGATTACATGAATATTCATAGTCAAAACTCTAAGCATAGGAAAAGTTAATTTTACCCAACATGAAGACCATCCGATTTGTCAGACAGTTGCCATGAATGGTCACATGTTTTGTTGTGCAGGAACAAGTGAGTTTGCTGGATGGAGAAGAGGAGGGAGGAGTTTGTGAGTCAAGTAGGCAACTCCTATCTGCTCTAGACTCCAACTCCAGCTCCAACTCCCGAGGGTTGTTCTGGCTGCTGGATGATCTGTCCTCGGACGCCTTCGTCACTGACCTGGCCCTCGTAGACAAACTCTTCAATGTCATCAGAGGTGAGTCATTCAAACTAAACAAATTTGTTGTGTAGTAACACATTTGTGTTTATTGTTCCTGGTTGGACTCTTTACTAGAGGTGTGCGGATATCCGAAAAATCGGGTCGGATTCGGTTCGGTTCGGATATCCGTATCCGAACCGAGCCCAAATTCGATATCCGACACTATCCGTTATATATCCGACTTTTTCGGATAGACAATATATTTTGACGTTTTGGACAGAAAACCTCCATAACCACCATTAGTTTCCCAGGACAAAATTACAGCAATACGTTTCCAACGACCTAACAGCAAACGGCAAAGAAGCCGTATGATGCAATACTGATAACTAGTTTAGTCGTTATCGGCTGTTTTGCTTTACGATTAGATTCGTCTGGAACGAACAGACATAAAGCAGAAAAGAACTACCATGCTCAAATGAAAGTCAACTCGTACTTGTCTTGCTCCTGATACTAGGGGCGCTGCGTAATAGTTTTTTTACAGTACTGTTTCAAAGTAGAAAAATCTAGCCTACTACTGTGATGTTAGTAAACAATAGATTAAATGTTTCCCGAAAAAAGTGAGAATAGAAACAATAGAAAGGCAACACAATAGAAGGGTGAGAGGGGTTGGGCAATAACCTCGAAAGGAGCGCGGGTAGTGAGTCAAGTGGGTAGTGAGTCAAGTAGGACCGGAGGGGGAAGGGGTGGGTAAGACCTTGAAGCTATGTATAGACTTGCACTACTTCCCTAAACCGAAAGGACTGGCCGGCGAGTGGTATTCCAATCACAGGACAAGATACGTTGTTTTTTGGGCATTCATTGCCCGGTTTGACTTTGGATTGTCTTACTGTGTAGAAACTTTGAATAATAAAAAATAAAGTTAGAACTAACCACGATTATTTAGCATTAATTGTGTACATATTAAATGATTAAACGATAGGGACCATGGATATATACAAACTTTTGTCGTGATTTTAATTTCAACATCAAAATACAATATTGCACAATCGTGATATTTTAGGTCATTGACCTTTATTATGCATCCGGTATTGCTGTTTCAGAAGAGAAGCACGTTGATAAATTATAAATTGATATTCCCGTAGTTAAAAAGAATTGTTTTATAAACCTATAAAACAAAATCATAAAATCTTACATAAAGATAACAAAAAATAACGGAAATTGTAAAAAGGGAATAAAGATAACAACGTCATTATTCTTTCTCTTTGTTCTTCTATTTCTTGGGTTTCCCTTATCACGCATTCGTCATCAGCTTTTATGACATAGCGCACAGCAGGGGGTAAAACACTTGAGTGCAGCCGAGCGGCACTAATGAGGGTCGGACCTTCTTGGGGGTGAACAATAGACGGCTTATCAGACCCTCCCCTCCCCTCCCCCGTGGTCTGGAGAAAGCTTGTAAACAAACTATTGCACAAGCGCGCGTGGCTTGACATTGGGCTGCTTCAATTATAATTTTGTCAAATGAACTGTGATGTTTCAAAATCAAAAACAATAATTTGGGACCATACTGCTTAACAATAATGGACTGCAAGTATTGTTGAACATACAATCCATTTTTAACAAACTAAGATTATACGATTCAAATACAATTATAAAGATTATCTTGGTATTTTACTTGGGGTAATGAAGTTATGTCTAGGCTAGTGTAATTCTCGGTTCATCAAGGTTCTACTGAATTATGTTTGGCAGTGAATATGTGTAGAATGCAATTTATAAATTCAGGGATACACACCTTTTACACAGTTATAAAGTCTAATTGCCCAACATCAAATCGTGAGCTAGAGCCAATTTAGTGCATTAGTGATTCTACACTTGGCAAACCCACAAAATGCCACTTAAGCCCAATAATCCGTTCCAAAAACATAAGGAAATACATAATACAATGTGAAAATAAACTTGAGATCGAACTCCTTGGCTTGTGAGAACCAGGAAACAAGATAAATCATAACCTCAAGTAAACAAGCCCAAACGTTTGACACCAGTCCTGCTGAGCTAAGGTGTTTGTGAAGATTTCGGCTGCTAGTGTACTTAATTCAAGCAACCAACTTTTGAAAATAAATGTTGTGAATTGTGATTTTCAAGAGAGAGAAAACTGTGGACTTGGCTAATTTGAAATTCTATAGTTCAAAATCGTCATTTAAGTTTATTTACACAGCTTTACATTGTTTTGTAGGTTAAAAATACATATGCAGCTTATTATTAACCGCGCCGAACTATCCGAATCCGAAAATATCCGAATCCGAACCTCCCAATATCCGATCCGATCCGAACCGAGCCTCAACTATCCGATCCGAATCCGATCCGAAATGAAATTTCACTATCCGCACACCTCTACTCTTTACCATTCAAGTAGGCTTGCAATCTCCACAAAAAAAACCCTAAACCCAGGCCAGGCCCTTGTGCTCTATAGTCAATGTTACATCATTCATCTAAATCTAAAATTATGTATGTGTTAGTACACTTGGGGGAGCAAGCGAGTCTAGTGGTAGGCACGGGACTTTAGGCCCTGAGGTCCCGGGTTCAAATCCCACCAAATCACTAATTATTTTAGCTAAGTGATAATGCCACCCTAGCCTAGCTTGAAGTAATGTGAAAAACGATACCCAACTAGAACCTAGTGTCCTAGGAAAAAAAACGTTTTTGTGAGAATCAAGTACTAAATAAAAATACTGTTATAGTTAAAAATGCTATAAAAAATAAATATGTTACGGAAATGAAATCTTTTTTTAAAAGTTACTTAAGAATAAGAATAAGAATATTTATTTTCTCCCAGTAATACAAGTATTACAATAATTAAAATTACAATGCACAAACACAATAAAAAGAAATTGATATAATATTCTATTAAAACTAAATGTCCCACGTGTTAGACTGACTAAGAAGAAAAAAAACACTGGCTTATTCACAACAATATCAACATAATAAATAAAACTAAGAATTATACCTGGATGATTTTAATTTCATTCTCTTTTTTGTGCAATTTATTGGGAGAAAATGTAGGGCCCCCGAGACAAAGCCTGTTTGGGGGTTCCTTCATTATAAAATAACCAAAAAAATAAATAAAAGACAGCGATCAGACAAAATAATCAAGATTGTAAATTAAAAAATTGAGATCTCTATACATAATAAGGTGCCATAATATAAACTTACCTGTCTTCTGGCAGATGAAAATTTGTTCAATCTGATTGATTCCACAGAGAATGACGGGTTGATCAAGAAAGGTCCAGCTCTAGATCAGATAACTCTACTCCACTGTGGCTCCAATACTCCGGTTGTATACTCCATGGCAGGCTGGCGTAGACAATGCCTTGATCATCCTCTGATTCGCACAGCCGGCTCACTTCTCAAGGAGTCATTCAAGTAAGTATAATCTTGGACCATTTCTTGCCCCTCGTCCTACGACTCAAGGCTCTTGCTTATGACTTGTTTCACACACCACAGAGAGGAGAGCTACAGAGGAAACCTTGCGCTTTCAACAATAGTATGTTGAGCTGGAAATATACTGACGAGCAAGGAAGAGTCCAAGCAGCAAGCACTGTGGGGGTCTTTCTCCACCGAGAGTGTTGCTGTACATAATGGCAATGAGAGGTGTTTAACTTTACCCTAGACACCAACGACTAGGGCTAGACACCACTTAAGTACACATTGAATGTTTCCTTTGTGCGTTACTTCTCTGTGCAACAAGTGTTTCAAATTGTTTCATACAAATGCCACCATTTAATATTGACCATTTTTTGGTTGGTTGGTTATATCTGTTTCAATTGATATAGACAATAGTTAAACAAGGTTCAACTGAGGTTATAATCATGATCTTGTTAGTAGGCCTACTATATACAGTCAGTACATATTCTGATTCTGATTGTGATTCTTCAGGAAGGAAGTGAGTGAGATGTTTGTGAAGAGTTGGGGAGCTGGATTGACAAGTACACTGACGGGTTCTATCGTAGGACTGGAGGGTTACCAAACACTAAGGAAGGGCTCGACCATGCATCGCTCTGCCACCTCCCCTCTTAAACACAAGTCATTCTCCTTGCAGCTTAAGTTTACAGTGGTGAGTAACTATGTATTAACTGATTCCATTTATGCTAGAAATATGAACGTTTTTACATTTTTATTTTGTTTTTACAATTTCTATTGGTTAAACAGTCACTGATTAGATTAACACAGGTAGTCTATACTCAAGGCCACACTAAAAAAAACAGGCCGTAATGCTCGTCAAACATGACGTCACAATAGTAGACGGCAATGACGTAGGTATTTATTTATTTATTTTCCAAGGAATGATTAAAACAAGCAGCTGATCACAAACGGCAAACATCACGTCATTGCCGTCTTCTATCGTGACTTCATGCTTGACGAGCATTACGGCCTGCTTTTTAGTGTGGCCTTGCTTTACTATACAGGGTAGTTGCGTTCTGAAAACATAGAATTACACAATTTGTTTTGGAACCATTATTTAGTACTTGAAAACCAATAATTTAACGTATCAAAGTGTTTTTGTACACCCAATGGTTGTAAAGAAAATTTCAAAAAAATTTACTTTTTAAATTCTTCTGTTATTCTTATGAAAAAAAAAACAACTGTTAAGATTGCTCATTTATGGATGTATTTTGAACAAATTTATTTATTTTGTACTAAGTTATTAACATTTTTCTAAAAACATGTTTCCTCCCCTTTAGCAGCTAACCTAAGAACTCATTATTGCTAATGTTATTAAAATAGGAGAAAAGATGTCACATTTCAGTATAAACTCAGTTGGTTTTGTTTGTTATCTAAGTTGGTTTGGTTGCAGGACGGTCTGATAGACACACTCAAGCGTACAAGGATCAAGTTTGTCCAGTGTCTACTGCCTCATCGTACTGCTGGACTAACTGACACCTCCCCCCCTGATACACTCATCAACATTCCTCTAGTTAGAATGCAGGTATGTTAGATTTCTTAAATTCATCATAAAATTATAATCGTAATCCTCTTTACTCACTTACTTCATCAAATTGTTCATATTGAAACCTTCTTTCTCTTTTCTTTGCACGTACCCCTTAAGATCTTCTACGAGGGCTATCCAGAAAGTAGATTATCCTAGCGGATACAGTCAAAAACGTAATCTACTTTCTGGATAGCCCTTGTATTAATTAAAGATGTTTTCTTAGTCTGTTGTCAGCTGTGAAAATTTTCCTGAAAAATCTAAAACTGACAACAAATGTAAAATTAACTTTTTCAAGTTATTTTGGAATATTTTGTAAATTTGATCAATCCACGAATAATAGAACAGAAATGAAATGATCATAAACATAAAGTTTCTAATCATTGTGCAATTTGGATCGTTTTCAGATTCGCGGGTTCAGAGTTCTGGATGCTGTAAGACTTTACCGCCAAGGTTTCCCCAAGTCAATGTCTCACAGAGAGTTCACCAGAAGGTTTCATCTCCTTTGTCCAACTGTCACATTGCACGACAACCAGGAGAAGGCTGCTGTAGAAGAGATGACCACAGTTCTGGACATTGACTCGGCCAGCCACAGGATCGGACTTTCCAAGGTAGGATGATCACCTGTTATACGCATGTATATAACCAGTTATGTAGATTTGACTTTCTTGGCTGCAGCAAATTGAATCTGGTCGCATAAAGTTGGGGATTCCTTTTCCACGAGTGATGTTCTAGTTCTAACAAGGGTGTTGATCCTTCTCATGAGGTGTGTTGTTCTCTTCTTATGTGTGGTGTTGATCCTTCTCATGAGTAGTGTTGTTCCTTCTCATAAGTGGTGTTGCTCCTTCTCATAAGTGGTGTTGTTCCTTCTCATGAGTGGTGTTGCTCCTTCTCATGAGTGGTGTTGTTCCTTCTCATGAGTAGTGTTGTTCCTTCTCATGAGGGGTGTTGTTCCCTTCTCTGTTGCTTCAACCCTTGTTATAAGTGGTTTTGTTTGTTCCCATAAGTTTTAGAATCCTAATAAATGATTGAAAATCTGTAGGACAGAAATTTTTACTTTAAGAGGGGATAAAAAATTATTTTTACCTTAAATTTTTAGACCGGACAAAATGGCATAAGTTTGGACTGTGTTTGTAAACAAAATTTACTACCTGTTCTTTTAAGGTGAGCTTAGTACAATACAAACTAGTCAAATTGAAGTACCAGTATTTTCAAATTTGAATGAAAACTTTAATTGATAAATAATACTGCTTACTGCCATGGCCACTTGTACCCAAGCTGGTACTTGGCCTGGCCAACACGTTGTGGCCAGTTCTCTCGGTCCTCAGAATCTTCCTCTACCAGTCTAATTTTTCCCTATCTTTCTGGACTTTATCCCACCACCTGGCCTTTGGTCTTCCTACTGGTCTCCTTCCCCTCGGATCTCCCCTTAGTACCTTCTTCAACAAGCTCTCCTCATTTCTCTTCAAGATATGGCCAACCCACCTTAGCCTTCTGTTTTTGGTTATTGTCCTCTCCTACAATATCAGGGTCTCGGAATGATTCTCTTAACTCTTGGTTTTGGCGGATTCTCCATTCTCCATCTCCTCACACTGGATAGCTCTTAGAACTTTCTTTTCAAATGAGATAAATAATAAAGATAGTAATTAAAACAAAGTAAGATTTTGCAAACATATAATTTTTACATGACTCGATAAACCTAGGCCTTGTAGTAACAAAGTGACAAAATAGGATTTAACTCAAAACCGATCAAAAAAGTAAATGCAGGTAAAGGATGTAACATAGGGAACAAGGGCCTAGGTTTTTGGATTCAGGGATATATGTTAGATAGGGGCTTCAGTAGGTTTTTCATCACATAAGTCTACATATTTGTTGAATGCAACCTTAATTCTTGAGGGAATAATAATATTAGACTGATCGTGATCGTCTTTTGCATATGCTACAAAATATTACCCTCCTGTAATTTCCTGATCCCTACATTTATCTCATATTAGATCAAGGATATATTTTGTCCAGGCCTGACCTGATTTTTAAAATTCCTGCAGACTCCTATAAATGGTAGTTAGTTGTGTCAATCCTCTTCAACATTATTCCCCCCCATAAACAGTTTTGCTTCTTCCTGCTAGTGTTGAGACTTATTCTTAACATGTTCGCTGCGGCCCATCAATGGCAGGCGTAACCCCGGTGCAGTGCTGTGCTGAACGAACCAGATTGCCAAGGAATTGGCTTTCAAATGTTGGTCTGACGAATAGCAAATAACGTGCGGTGATGTATTGCGTTACGACGAGAGTCGACGTAGCTCTCTAAAATACCGACAGATAGCAGCACTGCTTGGAACGTAGTCGGTCCTATTGTATTGCCAATTGTAGGGAGAAAGACGGGACTCATTTTTTTTTTTTTTTAAGTTGAAGGATGTCTTGGTCGGGGATCATCTTTGATATCTTCTCTCCCTTCTTCGAATTGTTTATACCACTCAAAACAAAACCCATGCAAGTCTAGTCACATACGTTGCTCCCTATACACTTGTTGTAAGAGAGAATAAGTCTATGTTGAGGGCTTCACACAAAATTTTACGTTTACGTTGTTCAGATATATAATTTTTCCAACAAGCATCATATGCACAACCTGACTTGAACAAAGGCTGTGGCCGAACTAAGCAACCTAGTGGCATCAAACAGGTTGGAATGTGGATGGGAGATGTCAGGCAAATCAGCAATACTGTATAGCATTTGGCCTTTAGGTTCTCATAGAAAAGCAGTCCTGTTATTTTATACCCATATGTCGTATATTCCAGTGAGCTCTCCGACTCTTTGTTGTTTATTTTGTGAAGCGCTCTTTTGCATCAGATACCAGCAGTACATGTGTATGACCTCATAGTACATGGGTTGCTTTTTAAGTAAGGGCCGATTGTGCGTATAGTTTCTTAGTTCCTGTGTACACCGACACGAGGCTCCTCTCTGCTTATTGGCATTATTTGTGAACAGAATGGCACCATTTTCAGTTCTGTAGCTGACGTTTATGCTTCGCTGTGTGTTTAGGAAATCACTTATTAGCTCTTTTGCTGCATAATTAGGTTAGTATCATGTTTTTCCACCACAAGAAACACATCCGATACTGGCATTCATCGCTAGATGACCAAAGGTTGTAGCCCTAATGCAATGAGTGATGGTGAAGTGTGGAAATGGGTTAGGGAGTAGAAAAATGGTTGTAAAAACCTCCTTTCCATTGTGGCCTTCTGTGATTAGTCTGGGTACCTACAAAAAACATAATTCTTTTCGAAATGAACATTTTCACAGACATTTTTAAACTCCCTAATTCATTTAGAATCATAGCTTTAGTTAGTTCATTTAGTAGTTTGTGAGAATAGTTCATTTTGGTATGGTTGGTATCACATGTGTTTTGTATAAGTTAGTTGTCATGGATACCAGATGTTTTGTGGAAAGTTATGTTGTGTTTTTGTATCAAGTAAATCTTGTACCTAATACACCTTTAGTCTTTATCATTCTACACAATTTAAGTCCATTTACAACAGTTCATTTATACACTTTACCGTCTATACTACATTAGGGCCATAAATTTCAGTCATCTGCCAATGAATGTCTGCAGCCGATATGTTTCTTGTAGAAAAAAAAAACATATCAATAACCTTATATTGCATGTGGCAGGAGATTCGATAATAAAAAATAAAAAAATCCAGACACACATTGAAGCGGACACACCTGCAACAGAGCTGCAAATGGCTTATTTCTGTAAACAAATGATGCCAACAAGCGGCGAGGAGTCTTGTTGAGGTGTACACGTTATACGTACAAATGGCCCTTACGTGGTAAAATTACTGTTGTAGATAGTAATAACTTAATCAAGACTCCAAGACAACTGACTCAAAGTGTATTTGTATATGTATATGTTGTATATGTGTATTTGTATGTTGCATGTGTATAGATAAAAAGGATGCTATAAAGAAGTACAGTAAAATCCCGACCAACCAAAATCAAGCGGGCAAGGTTATTTCAGAAATTTTTTTCCGTTCATCAATAGTTAGAATTTAAAGACTATTTTCATTCAAATAGATTTACGACAGTCGTTTTTGATGTTATTGTAATTACTGTAATGTTAAAATCTTGAACCGAAAAGACAAAATCTTTTTCTTTTCTAAAAATAATTGACAATTGTTATCTGAACGTTATCTTTATCGCTATATGAGATCCGCGTTGTCGGCTCTATTATATTCTGTTGGACAAGACAGGACAACTACCCGTCCTGTTGTCTAGCTAGTTTTTTATTTGATAAGTATTTTTATTATAGTTTTGGTTAACCCGAGTTTCAGTTTAACGGAGTACTTTTAAAAGGGGTTTTCTGTATATTTGTACACATTCATACAGTATTTCTGGGAACAAGAACAGACTGGATTGGAAATATCAATCCTGACTGATTCATGATCTGAAAGGTTCAATTTTTTTAGCATATGTTATCAGTTACCCGCCATGACAGACTGTCAGATACTATAACAAAATATAATTAACCCTACATCATGCATTTTGAAAATATTTTAGACAAACTAACTTAATTTATGACATTGAGTCAACAATTTTGTATATACATAAAAAGAGACTTCATTTCAAACCTTTTTAAGTAAATAGAAAACGGAACTGAACACAATGTTTATCGAGACTGATCCATCCCTGCACCTTACGAACTGCCCAGGTTTGCCAACCTCCTCAAAATACTGTGACATTCCTGTTTGAAGTGTTACCAGCTCTGTATGATAAAATATATTTAAAAGGTTTGAAAGGTAAAATACCAGAATCTACACAAAAATCTTATAAAAAATTACAGAAGACAGTCCTTTATTGATTGTGTTTGTAAAGTTTGTATTTGTTTGGTTAACAGGTAATGTCCTACACCAAATAGGTAAAAACATTCTTACTGAGAGTCAGGCTATACTCAACTAATAGACAATACTTTTAGTTTGACTTGTTTGGCACAGTTGAAGTTGTCTAAGTGAGAATCATTGTCCTGTATATTTACCAATGTAAAATGTAAAAAAATCATCTTTTGATAACCAAGCTCATCAACATTTAAAACATAATTATAACCAGGGCCACTGTTATAACAGGGTTTGGGTTTGTTGGGGACGCAAGGAAGAGAGAAATTACCCCACTAGGTAGGTAGAGAGGGGTGCAATTGCCTCGGGCCTATAGTACATAACATACAAACCACAGGCCTGATTATAACGGGATATTGGCTTTTGTCTGTTGCCCAGGAGGTGTCACGGTTATTTTAAGGCAAGATCATGTGGGTTTTCTGATGTTCAACTTATTCATTTACCCTTTCGATGCCAGAATATTTTTTTGTAATTTTTTTAAAAATGCTAGCGTTAACTAATATACTTATTTTGTCCGAAAAGTGCTCGGCTTGCCACGGGAGCAAAGTCTAGTGTGTGAGAAAAAAGTCAGTAAAAATTTAAATTTTTCATCTGAAATCTGCTAAGGAACGATATATCGGGCCTCGATCATATGAGGAATCGAAAGAAACCATCGCTGTTTCGAAACTACAACCGAGTCAACCAATATGGTCATTAAAAATCACATGATCGAAAGTCGCACTGGCA